TAAAATTAATTTATTTTCTGACTAAAAAATATAGCGGGAACTGATAAATCTACTATTATATATACTATTACTTAATTTTTTTAAAATTAAAAGTTTTTAAATATTAATTTTTTTTAAATAAAATAAAGCCGACTGTAATAATGTAAAGCGCTTTATATTAACTCTTATATATTAATTAATTATTAAATACTAAGAATTAGATTTCGATGTCTTTAATATAATAAAGAATAATTCAGATATTATATTTAAATTTTTTAATATATAGTTTAAAAAACTTTTTTATTAGTTATTCTAAAAGCTGTCTACTAGCTAATTTATAATAATTGTAATTATTATTAATACTTTAGACGAGTGTGACGAAAATAAGAACTAATAATTTATTTTTAATTATTTATTTAAAATATAAAAAATTAAATCTGTATATTTTTAAATATTTTTAACCAGCCGATCTGAACTTTCTGTTTATAATAGCTTTAATAAAAATAAGAATTACTACAATTTAATTCTTTAAAAGCTTTTTAAATCTGTGATTAAATATAATATTTATTTTTTTTTAAAAGTAAGTTTTTAACTATATAAAAAGAATACTTACTATTACCCGACTGGTCCGAAAGTAAGAAAATTAAAAAATTAATAGTAATAGTTATTTTTTTATTTATTTTTGCAGCTACGATTTACTGTTTTATTAAAAAAAGAAAATAGTATTCAGAACATCAGTTTAAAAAATTTTTTAATAGTATAAATATATCTTCAGCAGATAAAATAGTATAAATATATATATTTATTTTAAGCCAGCTTCTTACTGGAGCTAATAAAAAAAATATATTAGCTAAAAAAAATTTTAATATATAATCGAAATTATTATTTTCTTAATTTTATCTTTATCTCTTTATACTCTCTCTCTGCTTATTAAATTTTTATTTAATAATATTAATAATCGCTTAAACAGATTCTATTTTATTTTTAGTATATTAATAAATTCTAAAGTACCAGTCCGGATTCTATACTTATTATTTTAAAACTATCTTTTAGATAAAAAATATCTATTTTATATTTCTAAATAAAATATATATAGTAGAATTATTTTATATTATCTCCGGCTTATAAAAATATAGTTTAAAAAGAATATATATAAACTGTAAAATTATAGAATATAATAAAAAAATATTAAAATTAAGATTATTAAAGATTATATTACTGCTGATATATAATATATCTATTAATACTAGATTTATTATTTAAAATAAAATAAAAATCAGATTTTAAACTATAATATTTTTTATTTTTTTAAATTATTTTTTTACTGGTTGGAGATACTAGCTCTGATAACAGTAATATTAAAAACAGTAAGATTAATAAATATATTAAAATTAAAAATATATATAAGTTTATAGTTTACTGCTTTGAAAATTTATTAAATAATATCTAAATATAATTTAGCTCTGAATTATCTGATTTTTTATATAATATAGAAAGGTTTATTTATTAAAATAATTATATAATAATAAATACTCTATTATAAATCTACTATTCTAATTTTATATTTATACTAATTAAAAATATTATTCAACAGATATTTATTAGTAAAGTTAAAAATTAACTAATAGTTAGAACAGCAGTAGAAGATTTTTAAAGCTTAAATTTCTAAATATTTAAAAAATATTTTAAATTAGTTAATTTAATAGTCTTCTTATCTGACGGCTGTATACTAATATCGGTTTTAAATAATCAGATTATTAAACTCTGGAATACAGCTATAAATATTAAATAATATATACTGATCGGCTACTCCGGCTGGGTTGTATCGGTAGTCTTCTTACTAAACAGCTGTATATTAATATTAGTTTTATATAATAATATTATTAAGCTTTAAAATATAATTATAAATATTAAATAGTATATACTAACCGGCTACTTCCGGTCGGTTGTATTAGTAGCTTTCTTACCGGACAGCTATATATTAATATTAATTTTAAATAATCAGATTATTAAATTTTAAAATATAATTATAAATATCGAATAATATATACTAATCGGTTATTTTAAAGCAGTTATATCGATAGACTTCTTATCAAACAGCCGTATACTAATATTAATTTTAAATAATAATATTATTAAGTTTTAAAATACAGTTATAAATATTAAATAGTATATACTAATCGTCTATTTCGGCTGGATTGTATTGATAGTCTTCTTACCGGACGGCTGTATACTAACATCAGTTTTATATAATTAGATTATTAAATTTTAAAATATAGTTATAGATATCGAGCAGTATATACTGACCGACTACTCCGGCTGGATTATATTAATAATTTTTTTATTAAACAGCTGTATACTGATATCGGCCTTGGAGAATAATATTATTAAGTCCTGAAATATAATTATAGATATTAAATAATATATACTGACCGGCTATTCTAATTAGATTATATTAGTAGTTTTTTTATCGAATAGCCGTATACTAATATCGGTCTTATATAATTATATTATTAAATTTTAAAATACAGCTATTAATATTAAATAATATATATTAATCGGTTATTTTAATTAAATTATATTAATAGTCTTCTTACTGAACAGTCATATACTGGCGTCGGTCTCAGACAACTAGACTATTAAATTTTAAAATATAATTATAAATATTAAACAGCATACGCTGATCGGCTATTTTAATTAGATTATATTAATAATCTTTTTATTGGACGGTCGTATACTAACGTCAGTTTTAAATAATTAGATTATTAAATTTTAAAATATAGTTATAAATATTAAATAATATATACTAATCAGCTACTTTGGCTCGGTTCTTTTAATAGTCTTCTTACTAAACAGCAGCTTAGTTATAAAGTAATTTACTTTCAGTTATTCTATTTCTATTACAGATTTTTAGATTTTTCTGCGAGGTAAAAGAGTTCTATAGCTTTCTTTTTACTATCGTTATTTTATATATTTTACTATTAAGAATACTATACTTATTCTTAGATTAAATAGTAGGCGTGTTTTAATTATAAGATTTAATTTTAAATAGAAGAATATCTATGTATGTATTCTACTTCAGTTTTTTATTTTCTAATCTCTTTTTAAAAGAAGAACCTGGAATATGCAATATTTTTATATTATTATTTAATAAGACTGTTCTGTAATTTTTAGAATATTTATAATCAGATTAGTTTACTATTTATATAAATCTAAATATTTCTATAGATTATTATATATAGTATATATTATTACAGTATACTGTAATCTTACAGAGTATTATTATTCTATCCGGCTTTCAGATTATATTTAATATAGTTTTATCTTGGGGCTGCTGAAACAATCGAAGAGTGTAGGTAGTGACTCCGGTATCCGGAAGCCCTGTATCCAAACCTTGTTTCTGCTGCGATGTTGCCGAGACCGGTTCGTAGCCGAATGCTCGAAGTTGAACTTGGGTCGCAGGCGATAGTTTTTCGAAGGCTTCGTTCCAGAGGTCTCGAGCTTATTATTTCTTATTGCGATGATCCTTCTTCAATAGTATGTGCGGATTTAACACCTCCTCTGCGACTTCTTCTTTTGCTACGTGACCGAGCGAGTGTTGGGTATCGTTGTGCTGGATGTGTTTGGGTAATGTTGCCGAGTTGTTTTGGAAGATATTCTGCGGTTGAAGGTTCTTAGAATAATCTCTTTCTTTCGGAGTCGAATCTCTACAGAGCACCAATAAGGTCGCGTTTTCTTTTGACTGCTGTTCTGTAGGCTGGTTGGGGTTGCGCCGTGTCCGGCTCGAACTTGTAGACCCACGATCGGCATTCGTCTTCTTATGCCATATACGATCCCAACCGTATGAGATCTTCTCTCTCAACCTCCTCATATTTACATGAACTCGTTTGGCGTAGGACCGGTTCTATGTAGCCAACAACAGACAGAGGCACTCGCTGTTAGAATCTCCCGTCGAGAAAAACTGGTTGTGAGTTGGCTTAGCCGTACGCGGGGCTTGTGCATTAGTTCCAAAGAACTAGTGTTTAGGTCGACTTGTAATTGGTGCGGACTCTCCACAGTATGTATGCCTTTTGCATTTCCTGGGGCGATCGGTTAATTGCGCCAGGTGTTCATAGCCTTCGATCGAATTTTCAAGCCGATCTGGTTTCCTACTATTGCGCTATTTGCCTTCGCAGACTTGAGGCCGGCGGATTTCAGTGTTGTTAGATCAAGATTGATAGTGCTGCTGAGAGTAAATGGTTCATATACACTTCAGGTTCCACGACCGAACATTTGCCCACACATTGCTGACCCTGTTCCAATTAGGTAAGCACATGCGATTAGACTAAAAAGCTTTCTTCTCACATTGAATGACGATAAAGATCTCAAATCTATCTACTGTAGATCCTTGTTATAACAGACCTTTATAAACGGAATTTCTTTTTGTACTGAACATCTTCGGCGGGGAACTTTCGCATCTTATACTACATACCTACCTATATTTGCGATCGGAAGTCGTTATACAAAAGATCCACTGTATTGATCTATTGATAGTTTGTTTTGTATAAAAGCAGAAAAAGGTATGCAAAGCAGTAACTTCTGATGTCCGCGGGTTTAAATGACACCCGTGGTAACAGACAGTATATTACATGCTGCACCAATACATCCCCTGTAAGCCAATGCATGGTAAAGTCATAGCCGATCGTAAGTTCTGGTATACTTACGTATCGACAGCTGGTCTCTCAGAAGCCCTGACTGAGATGCACGACCGTCGCTAGGGAGATCAAGATTTTCAAGGCTAATACTAGTCACTCGGCCTCGAGAATTGTAATTATCTTGAGAAGTGCATCCATGTCTATTCAAGCCTCCAGGTAACTTAGATCTTCTTACATCAAAAACTTTAACTTACCGAGCCCGCGACATATACTTGTGGTTTCCGAACGACGAGGCTGTGGCTCCCAATCCGAATCAACGCAACAAGATGCAGTATTTTCGATATGGCATTCTCACATTCAAATGTCACACTTCCTATACCGTGAAGAGCGTAAGAGTGATAAGTATATTGGGGATGTCCGTGTAGGATAGCTACTAAAATAGACTGTCATAGGCTTATTTGCCCATTCTCAAAAGTGAACTTCCACTACATACATTGCAAGGAATACAGCAATATGGAAAGCAAGCAAGAGAAACATGAGAGTGAGATGGTAGACAAGCGCATGCGAACGCGTAATCGTCAAAAGAGAGCAATTGATGCTTCTCCATCATCCGGTCGTTAGTGAGTGAGGGGTTTGAAGTGACAGAGTGATCCAGTAGGCAATTCTGCGTGCTCCTAGCCCCTAACTGACGTATTGGCTCCCCAGGAACACATGGAAGACAGGGAATTGTTCTCAGTTAAGTGCTTGGATAGCCCCCACCCCAAAGCACACCCACGCCCCCAGATCCACGGTCAACATGCGAAGGAAGTTCCACCACAGCCACCGCTCCAGATCGCGCGTGGAGTGGCCCTTGGAGTGGTCCTCGGTGATTGCGCGCACGATGGGCGCGACGACGGGCGCGTACAGGGCATGCCCGGCGGTCAGGGCGGCGCCGGCGACGTACCACCGCAGGGACTGCCGTTGGGCCAGCGAGGCCCGGTCGGTGACGAGGTTCATGCCGGCCGTCGCAAGCGAGACGCCCAGGAGGACGAGGACCCAGGTCACACCGCTGCGGAAAAAGGTCCGGAAGTAGGTGGGCAGGGAGCGATCGCTGGCGGCGCGGTTGGCGGGGTGCACGAAGGTGCGCAGGAAGAGGTTCTGGTCCCAGGCGAACCAGAGGCTGCAGGTTGAGCTCACGAGAGGAGCGAGACGGAGGGCGATCAGGGGTCCGAAAAATATACGGGAAGCCATCTTGGGGGTTGGAATTGAGATGGTTTGGCGGGAATGATTGATGTATCAAGATGTCCTGCGAAGGTACTAGGTTATGAATACTGAGCTAAGTCAAAGCAACCAAGCGTGGGTCCTGTGTTTTTAAAAGGTTTATGTGTCATACGATGTCGGGGATCATCGGGGAAAGTATAGTATAGCCCAGGAGAAAGTCTCCGAGACAACCATTTTTATTCGTATGCTTCTTGAGTCCTAAGGCTCAATGTTATTGATGGCGGGACGAGGAATGGTCGATTCACAGGCTTCAGACCTGAGCGACTTGGCCGGGGTCACAGACATAGAACATGCATATTCAAATTAAAACAGTCAATTCGACGACGTTATCTCAAGGGCTGAAGATTGCATATCAAAGTCGATCTCTCCCAGCCTTGATCTCGCGAACAATGGTGTCGGACAACGACTGTGGCTTCACCATGCTCCACCAACGCCCCGCAACCTGTCCATCAGCCGTGATGAGGAACTTCTCAAAATTCCACTTGATGCGCGTCAACCCAAAAATCCCCGGTTGCCTGTTCTTCATCCACGACCACAAGGGATCGGCGTTTGGACCATTCACGTCGACCTTGCCCAGGACCGGAAAGCTCACCCCGTAGTTCACCTGACAGAAAGTCTGGATCTCGTCGTTGGTGCCGGGGTCCTGGTTGCCGAACTGATTGCAAGGGAATCCGAGGACGACGAAATCGTTGGGGTACTCCGAGTTGATTTGCCGGTATAGATGCTCGAGTTCTTGGTACTGCGGAGTGAAACTGCATTTGGAGGCAGTGTTCACGACAAGGACGACTTTTCCCCTCAAAGTAGACAGGGGATAAGGCTTTCCTCTTTCTGTGTGAGTCTGCGTCAGTAGCAATAAGATTGAGTAGCCAGCACAAGAATCGGGTATACACACTGTCCAGGGGGCTGAACTGGTAGAACATTTCAGACGCCATGGGGTCAGTTTGCGCCAGCTCTGTATTGGGTAGTTGTATCGGAAGTTCAGAAAATGCTCGACAATCAGAGCGTGTAGATCGCGGTTCAACGCCTCCATGTTAGGGCAGGAGTCCGGCTCCGTTCGCTGGATAAATTCGGGGCGGATTCGCGGACTTTCGGGGCATGTTCGGGAGGCAAACCCCCCCTTATCCCGGAGACATTTTGCATGCCCGGAATTTCACATACTCGGCGAGCTCGACACCTCAATATGAGGCGGGAACGGCCATCTAATGTTTGAAGAGTCATATGGTCTATAATGTATTGATTAGCCCACGAGCCTAGGTCTTTCGACTTGATCGACTGATAACTTCATCTCAACTGCAACCACTACCACTCTCCAGGAGACCAAGTCTCCCCACAGATACAATGGGCTACAAACTCCACGAACCCACACAATCCTTCACTATCCCCCGCGTGCAACGCGCGATTGTATGCCTGCCCAATGGTCAACTGGGCCACGTCCGCGACGCGCCCGTCCCCCCATTAGCTCCGGACATGGTGCTGGTGCGCACGGCTGCGGTGGCGCTGAACCCGACGGACCACAAAATGGTCGCGAACTTCCCGACCACCGGCGCGATCTCCGGGTGTGATTTTGCTGGCACGGTCGTGGCTGTCGGGGATGCAGCGACCGAGCGATTCAAGGTTGGGGACCGAGTGTGCGGTGGCGTGCATGGGGCCAACCCCATCGACCCCGCGGTGGGCGCCTTTGCCGAGTACGTCGGCGCCACCGCAGACATTCTGGCCCTCGTGCCTCGGGACCTGTCCCTGACCGATGCCGCGGCGATCGGCGGCGCGGGGCCAGCAACGATGGCGTTGGCGCTCGGAGATAAGCTGACGCTCTCGATCGATGCAGATGCAGCTCCCAACGGCCCAACGAAAGAGGAGTTTGTGCTGGTCTATGGGGGCAGTACCGCCACTGGGACGATGGCCCTGCAGCTTTTACGCCGGTACCAGGCCCTTGTATATCATTTGCCGAGAATGTAGATGTGACACTGACCATTGGATCCTCCGCAGAGCTGGGTATCGCCCGATCGCTACCTGTTCGCCCAAGAATGCGAGTCTCGTCCGCTCCTACGGTGCGGAGGCCGTCTTCGACTATCACACTGAGGACTGTGCCGCGCAGATTCGGAGCTACACCAGGAACACCCTCCGCTATGTTCTGGACTGCATCACCGAGCCGAGCACGGTCGACCTCTGCTTGAGGAGTATCGGGCGCGCGGGGGGCAAGTACTGCGGGCTCGAGGCGTTTTCCGATGAGTTACGGTCGCGTAAAGCTGTCTCTATGGACTGGGTCCTGGCGCTGAGCATCTTCGGCAGGGAGATCGCCCTCGACAAGGGCTACGGCCGGGAGGCCAATCCCAACCATCGGGCTCTGGGTCGGAAGATGTTCGAGAACGTCGAGCGGATGCTGCGGCACCACGAGTTGAGACCCCATCCGGTCCGGGTCATGGACGAAGCCTGGGAGGATATTCCTCAGGGCCTGGCTTTGCTACAAGCGAAGAAGGTTTCCGGCGAGAAGTTGGTGTATATTGTTGATCCGAGTCAGACAGGTATATAGTCTTTAGAGTGGGGCTACCTTCTCAGAAATCAAGAAATCATTCTAAGGGTATTAAGAATGAAACCACCTTCTTATACTCCTCTCTCTTTTTAATACGGGGTATATCCATATGTATCTGTGCGGTAACCAAAGCTGTGTTTAGGACTGATCTCAGGTCCAGTGCCAAACATCCGGATTGACTCACACGGGATGCATACACATGAACTGTGATATAGAAGATCGGGCTTTACAACCTACAACTAGAAACATAGAAAAATCTGCCTTCTTATTTTACTAAACCGTACGTCCAACCTCCCCAGCCCTTACTCATTCTATGATCAACAGCTAATAATACTTGGCCGCCGGCTTATCGGGCAATGCAATTGCAATGCGTTCCGCAAAGGGTGGATGCAGGGACTGTCCATCCGGCCCAATATTCACCAGCTTCCCATCCTGCAGAAAAACCTCCACCCAGGTGACAGCCACCGTTGTCGCGTCCAGGCGCACGAACTTCTCTGCATCCACATGCAGGGCCTTGAATTCCGCGTCCGCCGACACGGCCAGCAGAGCCGCCACGTCGGTGAAGTAATATTCGATGGTCACGTCGTGGTCGTCGATCTTCCAGGGGAGCTGCAGCCCGTGAGCCAGCTCGCGGGTGTGGCTGGTTCCGATCGCCTACATAATGATAAGCATAGTGGGTGCGAGTGGTGCAGGTGTACAAGGGAGCTCGTTGTGGGCAATCCGTACGCACCAGTTGGTAGTGGAGAATCCCATATTTCTCGTGGATCTTGGCCGCCTTGACGGCGTGATCGCTGGAGATGTAGGCGTAGAAGTCTTCCTCGGAGACCTCGGGGAGTTTGTAGTAAGATCCTGCGAGGCGGAGGACCTTTTTGTATTCGGTTTCAGACATGTTTGCTTGCGCGTTCGTGAATGTTGTTTCAGATACAGATGACAGGCGGACAGCGACGATAACGAGCGGATTGACAGGACGAGGCTGAACACCTTTCAGTTTATAAAGCAAAGCGCAACTGCCAAAGTCCTCCGAGATTGGAATACCTCCGACAGCGAAGGACGATTGTAAGTAACCGACCAAGTGAGACTCATTCCATTCCGATAGTCCTTCCCCGACTCGGCCTTACGCTGATGCAAAATGTCTCCGATACAAGAGCGAGTCAATCCATGACGCGACTTAATGAAGTAAACAGACCCTACTAGTATCCACCCCCTCTCTAAAACAGCCCTATGCCCTCAAGATGCACCAATTCTTCCCCTCGTCCTCCTTCTTTAACTTCGAATTTACGCGGGTAGTCGGCACCATCCCCTTCGGAGGCGCCGAGCTCGCGGAATGCCTCGACGCGGCCACGCAGATTACCGGCGATGACGCGGAGAGCTGGCATCGTGGCTGGCTGATCCAGGCCGAAAAGGCGCACGCCATCGCCCTAGAGGCGACGGAGCATGGCGATCGCCATGCGGCGCGCGACGCCTTCCTGCGCGCCGCCAACTACTTCCGCGCCAGCCAATACATGTTCAACGACCGGCGCGAGAGTCCAGACCCGCGCGTTCGCGAGCTCTTTGCCCGGAGCGTCCAGGCGTTTCACCGCGCGATCCCCCTCTTGGGCCACCGCACGCACATCCTCCAGGTGCCGTACCGCGAGGGGCATTTGCCGGGGTATCTCTTTCTCCCGCCGCTCCAGGGCGGGGACACCACGCGGCAGGAACCGGAGGCCACGGTTCCGGTGGTGGTGTGTATCAACGGCGCGGACTCGACATCGGAGGAGCTGTATCTGCTCTATGGGGCGAGTGGATGCCAGCGCGGATACGCGGTGCTGTTGGTCGACGGGCCGGGGCAAGGAGCCAGCTTGCACGAGACGGGGACAGCCATGCGCCCGGACTGGGAGCAGGTGACGAGGCCGGTCCTGGACTACGTCGAGCACCTGGCTCACGCGCATCCCGAGTGGCGCCTGGACCTCTCGCGGATCGCCCTGGCCGGCGTGTCCATGGGGGCGTACTATGCCCTGCGCGGCGCCGTGGACCCGCGCGTCACCGCGTGCATTGCCATTGATCCCTTCTACGACATGTTCGACCTGGCGACGTCGCGCATGCCCCCGTGGTTCATCCGCGCCTGGCTCGCGGGCTGGATCACCGACGGGGCGTTCGATGCCACGTGGCGCATGTTGTCGCGGTGGAATTTCCAGCTCAAGTGGGAGCTGACCCATGTCATGCGGATCTTTGGGAAGGAGTCCCCGGCGGCGGCGATGCGCGAGATGCAGCGGTATTCGCTGAAGGGGGATGGGAAAGTGGGAGAGTATCTTCGTCGAGTGGAATGTCCGGTGATGATCAGTGGGGCAGCGCAGACTATTTACACTGCGCCGGAGATCAGTACACTGAGAATTGCGCAGGCATTGGATCATTTGCCTGACGAGAGGCGACATCTCTGGATTGCAAGGGACGCGGGGGATGGGGGTTTGCAGGGCAAGGTTGGTGCGTGGCGTCTTCTCCAGCAGAAGGTGTTTCAATTCCTGGATGAACAATGGGACGTGAAGCGTAATATTGGAGACATACAGGGTTGAGCACAATATCAAGGGTATAACTCGCCGAGAGATCTCTGGGGCTTGACAAGGGTATAACTCGCCGAGAGATCTCTGGGGCTTGATATGTTGAATGATGATGATTCGTATTAAAATATCTAGGTACTAACTTTGCTTTGAGAAAAATAAATCAAAAACACTGAGCCATCCTCTTTTGCGACTATCAAACACTACTCCCTCGTGGCCCCCGCGCCCCCCCTCCCCCCTTCCCACCCCACCGCAGGGAGAAGTCTTTGCCATCTTTATGAGTGTGTGCCAGCAGACGGCTAACATGCAACTACAACGACATTGCTCGCGATTGACACCCAGCCTTCCTGTCACAAACTGAGTCTTCTGAACCAGCAGTTCAAGCAGGGGGCGAACTTCCATTCGCACCGTCCTTCGCCTCCTTCTCCTTCAACCCGTACTGCGTCTCCAGATGCGACCGCAACTTGATATTCTTCTCCAAGAAGCAAAGCAGAAACGACAGCCCGGAGAACGCGATGGAGACCTGCCACACCACCCGAAGGCTGCGGGAATACACATCGATGGTCTCCGACCGCACCTGGGTGGGGAGTGCACTGATGGTCGCACTCGAGGCGTACGAGTACGCATTACCCCCGCTCAGCATATTTCGTACCGTGCTATCGCTGATCGACGAGGCATACTTGTCGAATTGATTGTTGAAAATGGCGGCAGGCACGGACAGGCCCCAGATGATGCCGAAGCTGCGGACAAAGGCCCAGAGAGCGGTAGAAGTCGCCGTGTCTTTCTCCTCGAGCCCGGCCTGGACCGCGGGAAGGAGAACGGGCATGATGGTCCCGGCGCCGAATGCGGCGACCATCTGCGTCAGCGTCCACGCTGCGGTGGAGGAATCGGGGCCTAGCACCGTGAAGGTGCCGAGGCCGATGGTGAGAAGGGCAAAGCCGGCGATGTGTAGCAATTTGTAGTTGCTGGTCTTCGAGAGAATGGCACCTGACACGCCGGCAACGGGGATCATCGAGATCACGGTTGGGAGAAGTTGTACGCCGGAGCGTTCTGGGGACGACTGTAGCACTGCCTGAAAGTAGACCGGAAGCATGTAAAGGATCCAGAAGCTGAGAAGGCCGTGCATGAAGGTATTGAAGAACGCGATAATTGAAGTACGGTTGTTGAACAGTCGCAACGGGGTGGTCGGTTCTTTCACAAATGGAGTCGCTTGGTACAGGACGAACGCCGGAACGCCCAGGAGGCCGATAATCAGCGGGGCGAGGACGTGGCCGGATGACCAAGGATAACGCGTGCCGCCCCAACTGAGCGCAATCAGAATTGATACAATTGCACCGACGAGCAGCAGGTTCCCGAGGTAGTCCAAGCGCTTCAGCTTCGTCCCAATGGACATCTCGCGGTTGTAGTTCACTTGCAGGAAGAGGATGAGTAGAACTAGACCTAACCCTCCAATAGGAAGATTGAGGTAGAAGACCCATCGCCAGGTCGTGTTGCTGACAATGGCGCCGCCGATGAATGGGCCCAGTGAAGTACCGACGGCAAAGACGACGAATAGCAGTCCAATGTATGCGCCTCGCTGCGTCAGGGGGACCAGGTCGCAAATGATGAGATCGATAAGCATATTAATTCCGCCGCCTCCAACACCTTGGACCGCACGACCAGCGATTAGCATGGCCGCGCTCGAGGCACCGCCACAAATACCACTGCCGAGGATGAAGAGGACGACGGAGAAGATCATCGGATAGCGGCGACCGAAAACATTGGCGAGTTGCCCGTAGAGCGGCTGAAAGGCTGCGCTATACAAGAGAGAACAAATTAGACTCTGAAATCGATGGGACAGGCGTGTGCAATAGAGGTATCTCGCACGTACGTGGTCAAGAAGTAGGCGTTGGATACCCAAGGATAATTGTCGCCAATGTGTAGGTCCGCGACAATGGTAGGAAGAGCCGTGGATGTGACGGTTCCTTCGAGAGCGGCCAGCAAAGAAGTTACACACAACGCACCAAAGACCAGCCAGAACCGAAGGTCGTGGTTGAAGCTCAATTTGGGCGCATCGCTCAAGGCCTCTGCTGGCGGCGTGTCAACCGAGTCGGAACGACTGTTGTTCGGTTCCATGGCGTTGTTCGGTGAATCGCAATTGCAAGTCGGAGTGTGTAATGGTAGAAGATATGAAGGAGGTGTGACTGAAGAAAAACGAAGGAGAGGAAACTTTGCGAGCGATGCATCGCCGCGGTCTTTTTGAGCTGTTCGGAGACATTTCGCAGAGTTGTTTGGTTTGCGAGTCCGAAAGCCGCGGTTGGGGTTTGGCAAAATGTCCCCGAGCTCGCTGCCTCAGGCATCGCCAACAACCCCAACGCACCCTGAGCTCAATCCACCACCGGGCTGACAGCCTCAGCATCTCAATTGAGTCAATGGAATCATTAGGCTAGCGTGAACGCGGAAAGTATTGTAATTCTCTCTGGACAATGGCTTCGGATTTGATTTTGCCGACTCCCCCCCGAGATCACGTTTGTAACGAGCGTAGCAGAATATAAAGTATGATGGTTGTAGGCATTGAGCAAGTCAGACGATCTCAACAACAACAAAAACAAGAACAGATCAACCAGCAAGGCTCGTGTGATACGGTAACAAGATGCCTTCTGAGCCTATAGCAATCATCGGCAGTGGCTGCCGATTTCCCGGACAGGCCGATTCGCCTGCTAAGCTCTGGGAATTGCTATCCAGACCCCGGGACGTCCTGCGCGAGATCCCAGCGAATCGCTACAACGCAGCAGGCTTCTATCACCCCGACGGACTGCATCATGGCTCCAGCAATGTGCGACATGCATACACGTTGACGGAAGATGTACGGACGTTCGACGCCAGCTTCTTCCAGATTAGCGCCAATGAGGCGGCGGCGATCGATCCTCAACAGCGGCTCTTACTCGAGGTGGTCTACGAGGCGCTAGAATCCGGCGGCCTGCCCGTCGAGAGCCTCCGGGGCTCGAATACCGCTATCATCGTGGGCCAGATGTGCGCCGACTATACCGACATTCTTACGCGCGATATGGATACGATTCCGACGTATTTTGCCACGGGAACCTCGCGCGCGATCATGGCAAATCGAGTCTCGTATGCCTTTGATTGGCACGGTCCTTCCTGGACAATCGACACCGCCTGCTCATCCAGCCTGGTCGCTGTGCACCAGGCCATTCAAGCTCTGCGGACAGGCGAGTCCCGGGTTGCCGTTGCGGCGGGCTCGAATCTTCTCCTCGGACCGGAGCCGTACATTGCGGAGAGTAAGTTGAAGATGCTGTCACCCGACGGCCGTTCCCGGATGTGGGACGACCGTGCCAACGGTTATGCCCGTGGTGATGGCGTCGCTGCGATCGTGATGAAGAAGCTCTCAACGGCGTTGGCGGATGGTGACCGGGTTGAATGTGTGATCAGGGCCACCGGCGTCAACCAGGATGGACGCACGAAAGGTATCACCATGCCCAGCAGCGAGGCCCAGGCTGAATTGATCCGCAACACATACAAAGCCGGGGGCTTGGATCTCGTCAAGGACCGGCCGCAATTTTTCGAAGCCCATGGCACGGGCACCAAGGCAGGCGATCCGCAAGAGGCGCAGGCTATCTTCAATGCCTTCTTCGGGCCGCAAGCAGCCGGGGACGAAAATGCCAGTCTGAAAGTTGGCTCCATTAAGACAATCATCGGCCACACAGAGGGTACGGCCGGTTTGGCGGGACTCTTGAAAGCCTCCCTGGCACTTCAACATGCTCAGATTCCGCCAAACATGCATTTTCGCACCCTGAATCCCGAGATTGAGCCGTATTGGGCGCGGCTGCGGATTCCGACAGAGCTGCAACAATGGCCAGCTCATTCCGGCTCAACTCGCCGTGCTAGCGTGAACAGCTTTGGGTTCGGTGGAACCAACGCCCACGCTGTCCTGGAGAGCTATTCGACAACTCAGAAGGAACGCACCAACCGCAGTGAATCCATCATCATGCCGTTCGTCTTCTCGGCTCAATCCGAATCAGCTCTAGCAGACATGATGGAAAGGGTTGCGACTCACATTCGGCAGCATCCCAACACCGACCTCGCGGATCTCGCGTGGACACTGTATCTGCGTCGGAGTTTGTGGCCAATCCGAGCTTACTGTTCAGGAATAAATTCCATGGACCTAGTCAACAGCCTCTCTGACAGCGCGGATAGAATCCGGACGAGCAACCAGTCTCCAGTCATAAAGCCTGCGAGTATCGGTCAGGCACAGCCACGCGTGTTAGGCATCTTCACTGGACAAGGGGCGCAGTGGCCCACGATGGGACGGGAACTGATCACAAGCTCTCCCTGGCTGGAACGTCGCGTGGACGAGCTCGAACTAGCCCTATCTCGTCTCCCGGAGTCGTATCGTCCGACGTGGTCCCTGAAGGAGGAGATGCTCTCTGCGGCCGCCAAGGTTGGCGAAGCACGCCTCTCGCAGCCTCTATGTACAGCGGTCCAGATCCTGCTGGTGGACTGCCTCAAAGCAGCCGGGATGGAGTTTTCCGCCGTGGTCGGGCACTCCTCGGGCGAGATTGGCGCCGCATATGCCGCCGGGTGCATCTCGGGTGAGGCGGCCATGTGGATCGCGTACTACCGCGGCGTCCACACCGCGCAGGCAGGCGGCCAACGGGGCGAGCAGGGCGGGATGCTTGCGGTTGGAACGTCGATGGAAGATGCCCAAGAGCTCTGCAGTCTGCCTACCTTCACGGGCAGACTGACCGTCGCTGCTAGCAACTCGGCGGCGAGTGTGACCTTGTCCGGCGATAAGGATGCAATTAACCACGCGCACCTGGTTTTCCAGGATGAGAAGAAGTTCGCACGCCCGTTGATTGTTGACAAGGCATATCATTCACATCATATGCGGCCTTGCTCCGGCCCATATCGGAGCTCCTTGGAGGCATTACGCATCCAAGTCAAAAAGCCTCGCTGCTCGTGGTACTCAAGTGTGTATGGTGGCAATCGCATCACCGGTGCTGAGGGACTGGACGGGCAATATTGGGTCGAGAACATGTGTCGTACGGTGCTGTTCTCCCAGGCACTCACCAACGCCATCCAGCAGTGCGATGATTCTTATGACCTGGTTCTCGAGGTGGGCCCGCACCCAGCGCTGAAGGGACCAGCGACCGCGACTATCCAGGACACCCTTAAACGCGAGCTTCCCTACACAGGGCTACTACAGCGCAATTCCCATGACACCAAAGCCTTTGCCGATGCCATGGGGTTTATCTGGGGACGGCTTGGACGCGATACCTTGGATCTTCCCGCGCTACAAGCCGCCTTCTCGGATACAGATGGCAGATATCAGCTCGTTCCCAACCTGCCGTCCTACCCCTGGGATCATAGTCGTCCCTTCTGGCATAAATCGCGTGTCATACATGACGACCTGTTCCGTGAGACCTTCCCACATCCCCTCCTTGGCAACCGTCAGACAAGCAACCCGGATCATGTCCAGTGGCGGAATATCGTTTCCCTCGGGGAGATTCCGTGGCTCAGGGGTCATTCTTTACAGGGCCAGACCATTTTCCCGGCTTCAGGGTACATTTCGATGGCAGTGGAAGCAAGTAGGGCGGTGGTCGGCCCTGAGCACAAGATATCTCTGGTCGAGGTTCTTGACCTGGTCATCGATCGGCCAATCACATTTGATGAGGAAGATGCTGGAGCAGAGGTGGTCGTGACACTGGCGAACATCGCGCGTGGGTCGCAAGAAGGCCCCGATAGATTCTTGACTGCCACCTTCAACTGCCACACCACGGCTGGCCGGGGATCCAAATCCCTCATCATGGCAGCGCACGGCCGTGTCTGTGTCACGCTGGACACTCCTCGCCGAGACACCCTTCCTTCGGCACGCCAGGTGTTCGAGGATGTTATCCAGGTGGATGGGGAAAGGTTCTATGAGGGACTCAAGGAGCTCGGCTATGACTACACCGGGCCCTTCAGAGCACTAGACCACCTGGCACGATACCTCAATCTCAGCACCGGAGTTGTTTATGAGCCTACATCCGACGCTGAAGCTCTTTCAAGCGTACTTGTTCACCCGGCTATGCTGGACGCCTCCTTCCAGTCAGTGTTTCTGGCCTACAGTTGGCCGGGAGATGGCCGCCTCGCATCGCTGCACGTCCCGACAAGCATCAAACGCGTACAGATCAATCCGGACTTGTGTGCGACTCCGGAGAGGAAGTTTTATTTTCATACCGAATCCGGGGAAGGGGTGAAGGCATCCATAACTGGAGACATCACATTGTCGCGCACAGTTGGTGAGCCTGCCGCAATTCGAGTCGAGCAGATCACCGTCATTCCAGTTGTGCCACCGACGGCTGCCGACGACAGGGCGCTTTTCGCCAGTGAAATCTGGGAGAATGCCGATCTTGCCGACCCAGCCCTCATTGCTTCCCCACCCTCGGTTGAGGAGGATCGGAAGGGAAAAAGCATCATTATGTTGGCGACCAAGCATCTGGTCGACACAGATAGCTTAAATAACCTCGCTGACTGCTATGCTGCTAACATCGCCCGAGTCAAGAGCCATCTGCTTGCACTCACCGACACAGTCGAGATAGACCCTATTCCAACCGAGGGATTAGACTCCGCTGCTGCTGGACAGCGCGATGGGTCCGGCCACCACGAGAACATTGATCTAACTATCTTAGCTGACACGGTAAACTTCCTGTCCCAGGGTGGTCAAGACCAAACTTCCAGCCATGTGCAGACGCTCTGGGAAAGTGGATTGCTCTCCGAATACTTCCAGCGAGGTCTGGGGGTGGCCAGCTCTAATAATAAGCTGGTCCAGTTGCTTCGCCGTCTGTCACATCGGTATCCAGCAATGAATATTGTTGAGTTCAGTAAGTCAATCACTGGGCCCGACAGGAAGGACAGCTCAAGTTCGTAGACTAACTCTTAGGCAGACGCGAGTAACATACACTTGACGGAAACTATCTTGCAAGACATTGATCCGGGATTTTCATCTTACACGCTCGGCTTACCGAAGTCGCGTGTCGAGCACTACAAAAGAAGCATGCCCTCAAAGGCACGGATGAGTATCTCAGCGATAGATTACGACCTGGATGTCGAAGAGCAGGGCTTCGCAGCCAATCAGTCCGACTTGATTATCGCCACTTTGGTGATGAGTGATACCTTGGTTGACAAAATGCTCGACGCCGCTAGACGCCTGCTCCGCCCCGGAGGTTATCTCTTTTTGCAGGCGGTTGGAGAGGTGGCCCGGTTTGATCTTTACAGTGACATAGCCGAGACCATGCCCCTGACTGTTCCAGAATGGCATCGTCAGCTTCGACGACACGGGTTCGCCGGCATAGACGCGCTGTCCCCATTCTCGGCAGGTCAGCCACTGACTATCATTGTCAGTCAGGCGACAAACGAGCGGGTCGAACTCCTGCGCCAACCACTAATCAGCACTCCATCCGACCTGGGTCTCCCGGAAGTCGTCTTGCTGGGGGGGGTCAGTATGTCCACACTCAGACTCGTCGAGGACCTTTCGGTCCATCTATCCTCCAAGTGTCCCCGAATCACGAGACGCGACTCCTTGGCTGACTTGATCGACAACCCGATCAATGCCCTCAGCACCATCATCTGTCTCGTGGATTTAGACAGTCCGGTCTTCAGGAACCTTGGAGATGGTATTTGGAGCGCGCTGAAGACACTGTTTGACCAGTCGCAGAATATTCTCTGGCTGCTGCGGGGGGCGCGCAGCAGCGAGCCATACTGCAATGCCACGGTCGGCTTTGGACGGACGGCGGCGCTCGAAATGCCGCATGTGAACCTGCAATTCTTGGACATTGGGAAGAACATCGAGGCCGCCGACGCGCGAGTCATCGCAGAGCATGCTTTGCGGCTCTATCTCCTCGGGAAGGGAGAGCCAGATGCTGCCGGGCCTTCGTCAGTGCTCTGGTCGAACGAGCCCGAGCTCTTGATCAAAGAGGGCAAGACATATATTCCTCGCGTTATTCCAAACAAGGCGCAAAATGATCGGTACAATGCGTCAAGACGGCCCGTCTTGCGGTCCATCAATCTCTCGGAGACGGCCGTATGCCTGCAGAGAGATGTGTCGGGAGAGACTACGATTCATCTCGACCACCATGCACTCAAGTTGTCGCCGGAAGACAAGAGGTTGTTAGTCGACGTGATTTATTCCGCCGCACAACCACTCACTCTCGAATCCGGCGAGAATCGATACCTCGTCTTCGGCCGTTGCAATGCATCGAACAGGACACTCTTCGCATTGGTTCCGAGATTAGCCAGCCAGGTTGTCGTGGGAAAAGAGCTCTGCATTATTCATGGAGAAAAGAACCGAGAGGCGACACCCGCTGATCTCATGCTGATGAGGTATTTGGCAATGAACCTGATCATACAAGGTCGCTTGGGCGACAGTGTTGCGAAGAACAGCGCTATCGTTGCTTTCGCGGCCGATTCCATTTCCCGAACCATTCTCTCCAGGTGGGCGCAGGCTCGGGGAGACAAGATAAGCTGGGCCACAAACACCGAGTCTGCTGATTCAAGTGACATCGTTATTCATTGCAGAGCTAATGACCGCGAGTTGAGGGCATCATTCCCAGTCCGACCGGCAGTTGTTCTCGATTTTTCGATCTCGCCACAGCATGACTCCCCAGCCCGTCGTCTCTCGAGCATGTATGATTGCCGGCTTGTTGAGATGCAGCGCACACGAGGCGCAGGAGCATGTACCCTTCCCCACGATAGCGGTGTGATCGCACTCCAGCGAGCGTACGAGCAGGTCCACGTCGACTGGACTGGCGATGTTACTCCTTCCTCTGAAAATCTGGTCAACATAGCGGAACTGCCGCAAACCCTCGCTTCCCCTTATGCTCTGATCGATTGGCGGGCACAATCAGTCGTAGCGCAGCTGGACCCTGCTGACGCACAGCCTTTGTTCCACGCCGATCGGGCGTATTTGCTTATAGGTCTAACCGGTGGCCTGGGTTTGTCGCTTTGTGAGTGGATGGCCCGGCGGGGAGCTCGGCACCTAGTCATCACCAGTCGGAATCCAAAAGTGGATGAGCGGTGGATACGCTCCCTTCGTCGTGAGGGAGCAGTGGTCACTGTCGTTGCCAGGTAAGAGAACGCTCGCGAACCACAAAACGGAAAGGCACAATTAACACCCCGAAATGTAGTGACATCACGCAACGTCAATCGATAGAGTCCCTGTACGAAGACCTGAAGAAAACAGCACCACCCATCGCCGGCGTAGTCAACGGAGCTATGGTACTTCGGGACTCCTCGATCTATGACATGGACGCCGAGAAGATGCGAACAGTGCTGCGGCCCAAGGTTGACGGTAGCCGATACCTTGATTCAATTTTCGATGGGCGGCACCCTCTGGACTTCTTTATCATGCTTTCGTCGTTGACGGGCGCCTGTGGCAACAGCGGACAGGCGAACTACACCGCAGCCAACATGTTCATGGCCGGGCTTGCGGCACAACGCAAAGAGCGGGGCCTGGCGGGCTCGGTGATCGATATCGGGGCCATGATGGGCGTGGGCGTGTTGGTGCGCGACCGTAGCTACGCCCTCCAGGTGCAGTTGCGTGACTACGGCTACCTCTGGATGTCGGAGCACGACTTCCACCAGAGCTTTGCCGAGGCCATTTTGTCCGGCAGACCGGACAACACCCTGGAGAACCCGCAGGTGCTGGCGGGCATCCGTCTTTGCCGCAGCGATCAGTTGGGGACCGTGCAGTGGGCGCGGAATCCCCGCTTCTGCCACTGTATCCTGCCAAGTGATTCAGTCTCATCGTCCGCCCAGGGACAAGCGCATTCAGCGATTCCCCTTGCCACGCGTGTAGCGGAGGCGGCTGACGCGGCGGATATTTGCCAGATTGTGGAGGATGCCTTTCTGCGCAGACTGGTAATGGCGCTGTCTTTGCCCGAGTTCGAGGATACATCGGCTCGCACGCGACTGCTTAGTCAGGGCGTGGACGAGCTGGGTGTTGACTCGCTTGTGGCGGTAGACATTCGGTCGTGGTGGCTGCGTGAGCTGCACGTGGATATGCCTGTCTTGAAGATTATGGGAGGCACTGCAATCGCCGACTTGATTGCGTACGCAGTCAAGCAGCTCCAGCCTGCAATTGTGGAAGGGAGTGCTCATGAACCGTCTATGGACTTAGCAGAGCAGAGGGATAAACCTTCGAAGCAGGATGAGGAGATTTCAGGCCGGACTGAAGGAGAAACTGCATCCATATACTCCACAACGAGCTCCGAGTGCGAGGAGGAGGGGATATCGACTCCTCTGGACAGCTCCAGACTGTCAACAAACACCAGTGAGCCGGATATCACCAAGCCTGAGCCTCCATCTGTCCTGCATCGTGTGCCAATGTCTTATGGACAACGCCGATTCTGGTTCATGTCTAGCTATCTTGAAGACAGGACAACTTTCAACATAACCTGCTTGATCCGACTCGGGGGAGCGCCAGCAACGGACGCCCTGGCGCGAGCTGTTCATGTAGTTGGCACGAGACACAGCGCCTTGCGAACTTGCTTCTTTGAGGGAGAAAACGGCGATACTTGGCAAGGGATTCTGCCGCAATCCACCTTGGCATTGGAACAGGGCTCGGTGTGCAACTACGATGAAGCTGTTGAGCAGTTCCATCTCATGCACGCGCACGAATACAACCTCACCTTAGGCGAGTGTATGCGTATCATGTTCTTGGCTGGACCGGCTCAGTCCCACTACCTCCTTATCGGATACCACCACATCAACATGGACGGCATTAGTCTGCAGGTGATCTTGAAAGATCTCGAGGCAGTCTACAGCGGAAAGGGCTTGGGGCCTGAACCTCTGCAGTATCACCAATTCTCTTCTTGGCAGCACGAGCAGGTAGAGAGCAATGAGGTCCAATCCGACATTCAGTACTGGAGGAAAGAGCTGCAGGAAATGCCGCCAGTTCTCCCTATTCTATCGGTCTCCACACGCTCGGCGCGCCAGCAGATGCTCCAGTATGCCCACCATCGCGTGGACTTCAAGGTCCCTCGGGCTCTCGGAACCAAGATCAAGCAAGCAGCACGCAAACATCGCGCGACCTCGTTTCATTTCTACCTGGCCGTGTTCAAGGCTTTACTATACCGCTTCTCGGGAAGCCACGACGTCGTCATCGGGGTGGCCGACGGCAACAGAAATCATCTCAGCGGCGCTCCTGACAGTGTAGGCTTCTTCTTGAACCTTTTGCCAGTCCGTTTACGTGCAGATGGCCAGTTTCTATTCGCTGAGGCCCTAGAAGAGGCACGTATTCAAGCGCGTGCGGCACTTGCGCATTCCAGAGCCCCCATCGATGTGCTATACAACGAGCTGCAGATCACGCGATCGTCATCATACACTCCTATATTCCAGGCGTTCGTGAACTACCGCCAAGGGGCGCAAGAGAGTCTTCCATTCGGTGATTGCCGGCTAGAGGGTGATAAATATGAGATCGGGAAAACAGGGTACGACATCAGCTTGGATGTGATCGAGAACGCGCAGTCCGACGCTACAATCATGTTTGTGACCCAGAGCTATCTGTATTCGGCGGAGCAAACCGAGGTCCTAGCTGCCAGCTTTCGGCAGCTGCTCAGTGAATTCAGCCAAGATCCGGATATCCAACTAGATGAAGTGCAGCCGTACCCAGTTGCGGATCTTGATAAAGCCATCGCCTTGTCACACGGTCCGAAATATGCGATAAAGTGGAAAGGCACCGTGGTAGACCGCGTCGACGAAATGATTGCTTGGTTTCCCGCACGGCCCGCGATCGAGGATGCGTCATTGTCTCTGACATATGCGGAGATGTCGGTCCGCGTACACACCATCGCTGCGCTTCTCTTGAGTAACGGTGTCTCTTCGGGCTGGAAAGTCGCCGTGTTTCAACACCCTACCGCCGACTGGGTCTGCTGTATGTTGGCTATCCTCCGGATCGGAGCAGTCTATGTTCCGTTTGACCCTAAGCTTTCGTTGCCTCGACTCCAGCAAGTTGCCCAAAGCTGCAGGCCAGAAGCGGTTTTATTTCACTCAGCTACTGCAGAGGACGTCTCTGAGCTGCTCATAGGACAGCCTGACGTGATAAGCATCGACATTGCAGGAGCAGGAATCATGAATTCGACCACGGTCGCGAATCGATCAAAGCCAGATTCCGCCATGTGCATCCTCTACACGAGTGGCTCCACTGGCCAGCCGAAGGGAGTCATCCTCTCCCATTCGGCATTCGCTCACAAGATTGAAACGTCAAGTGAAATGTTCACGCTTAGCTCAGAAATGGCTATGCTTCAGCAAAGTGCGCTAACGTTTGACATGTCCGTTGCGCAAGCCTTCATGACCATATGCAACGGAGGTCGCCTATTTGTCCTCCAAAGAGAATACCGTGGTGACCCAGCCGCAATTGTCGATCGGATTCTGGAGCACGAATTGACCCATACCATGGCAACTCCCTCGGAGTACGAAAGCTGGCTCCAACTCGCAAACTCCCTGCCCGAGCAAGGGTCCGCCCTTGCCAAGTCCGGATGGCAGGTTCTCTTTTCGGGCGGTGAAAAGATCAGCGACAGCCTCAAGCATGAGCTCCGGACGCTGAACAAGCCGGACCTGCAGTTGCAGAATGTTTACGGCCCGACGGAGGTGAGCATATTTTCGCACTCGTTCGAGGTCGACTACCTCTCACCATCCAGCAAACCCGTACCTTTGGGCCCCGTGAATGTGAACTACTCGGCTTTTGTGGTGGACCGAGATCTGAAGCCGGTGCCCGTGGGGGTGCCGGGCGAAATTCTCATTACCGGCCCTGGGATTGCGCTCGGCTACCTGAACAACGAGGAATTGACACGTGAAAAATTTGCCCACTTTACGCTCCCGCAGTCCGGCTCATTCAGCGGCGGGGACCGGGCTGTACGAGGTTATCGCACCGGGGACCGCGGCAGGTTGCGACCGGATGGGATCTTAGATTTCGAAGGCCGGATTGGTGGTGACACGGAAATCAAGCTGCGGGGTCTGCGCATGGACCTAACCGACATCGAATGCGCGCTGCTTGAGGCGGCAAAAGGATGGCTAACGACAGTCATCGTCACGGTCCAAGGGGACCCTGACGCTCAGTACCTGTTAGCACATGTGGTGTTCCATCGTAAACAGCAACAGCAGCTGAGTGCGGACGAGCAAAGAACTTTCGTGGATGCTCTCACGCCGCGCTTGTCCCTGCCCCAGTACATGTGGCCCGCAGCAGTTGTTATCGCCGACTCCTTGCCTGTCAACTCGCATGGCAAGGTAGACCGTCGCGCGATCGAAGCCCTACCTTATCAAGTCGCTGCTCCCATCCAAACCGCCGATTCTGACTCCGGCGTGAACGAAGCAGAGGCACACCTCCGAGTGCTGTGGGAGGAGGTCTTACCTCGGGCAGCAGCCCAGCTGCATCACATCGGCCCCAAGTCGGACTTCTTTCACGTTGGGGGGAACTCAATGCTTCTTGTGAAACTGCAGCAATCAATCACTCGGGTCTTTGGTAGGAAACTCGCGCTCGTTGAGCTGTTCGAGCGGACGACTTTAGCCCAGATGGCCGCGTATATCACCAAGCTCAATGCCACCGAGAAGCCGTGGGACGAGATCGACTGGGCACAAGAAACAGCCATTGACGCCGACATCACAGCAACCCAGCCACCACGGCCCCACCCACGCTCGCAGCACCACGGCCGGAAAACCATCATCCTCACCGGCGCCACGGGATTCCTGGGCCAAGTCCTCCTTGAACAACTCCTCGTCGACCCCAGCATCGAAATGATTCACTGCATCGCCGTCCGCGATCCCTCTCGCTTGTCCGACCGAATTTCCTTCAAATCCACGTCCCGGGTGACCATCCACTCTGGCGACCTCGCTCTCCCTGCATGTGGGCTCGATTCCGCAACCAGCGACCGCATCTTCGCATCGGCCGAAACCATCATTCACAACGGCGCCGACGTTCACTTCCTGAAAGCCTACCCGGCTATGCGCGCCGTCAACGTCGCCTCCACCAAATGGCTCGCGCACCAGGCCCGCACGCACGGCCTGGCTCTGCACTTCGTCTCGACCGCCAGCGTGATCCAATTCGCGCCCCAGGCCAGCATCCGCGGCGGCACGGGAGGATTTCCGGCGGCCTCCGTCGCAGCCTTCCCCCCACCAACCACCCGTGGGGGCTACGCAGCCAGCAAATGGGTGAGCGAAGTGTATCTCGAACAGACCAGCCGGCAATGGGGCGTGCCCGTGCACATTCACCGGCCGACTGCGATCACGGGGCCCGACGCCCCCGCGCAGGATATCTTCCCCAACGTGGTGCGGTTCTCGCGGGCGCTCCGAGCCGTTCCGGTGCTACGGGGCATGGTGGCGGGGTGGCTAGATTTCGTGGATGTGCACAATGTCGCGAGGGGAATTGTCGCATGGGTGAGAGATGGGATATCTGCAGATGGAGAACCACGAGCAAGGTTCCATCATCATGCTGGGGACGTGGTGGTGCCGGTCGAGACATTTGCGAAGCATCTGAAGGAAGAGACTGGGGAGGAGGAGATCCAGATCTTGGAATTGGTGGACTGGATCCGGCAGGCGGTGCAGGCGGGGATGAGTCCCATGGTCGGAGAGTATCTTCGCTTTCTGGAGGGGCAGCAGACCCCCATTTTCCTGCCTTTGGTTTCGCCTTCTTGATATGTTGTTTTTCTTCATCTGCTTAACCTTGAGGTGTCTGGCCGAAACTCTTAGTCTTTGTTTCGTTTTCTGATGTGCTGAGATGGATCAGTTGCAAAATGATGGAGGACGTCGAAGAGTGAGGAGTGATGGAACACAGCTCTGGGAGGCGATCGGCGAGCGGAAGTACCTTAGAGACTCGCGGGCGGTGAACAGCCAAGCTGGACCTCCCGCCGGCTACAGTCCAGTCCAATACAGTCTAGTCCAATACAGTCCAGTCCAGTACAGTGAACGTGGTTAGAAAAAGAAGAAAGAAAAAGAACAAGGGCAAAAAGACACGGGAGTGAGCATCGGAAGGATTACACTTAGCATTTTGAACATGGACAATTCAGGGGAAATATTACCACCGCAAAAGTTTCTCTCGGGAGTACTGGAATACTGTATCCAGGTACGGCAGGCTATTGCGGCCATCGGGCAAATACACTTTTTATAACCAAGTCCTTTTACTGCTTATATCAAAAATCCAAGATCTATAAAAAGTCTTGATGAAATACAACTATTATAGATTATAGTTTTTAAGACTATAGACAGAATCTTATAGATGTTAAGGATATAAACCTGGCAGAATTTAAAAATTCTATAAGATATTATGATTATATATATTTATATTACAAATATATGTGATCAAACAGACGGTAAATAGACTAAGCTGGTATATAGTAAAAAAAGGGGTATTTGCCCGATGGCCGCAATAGCCTGCCGTAATCCAGGAAGATATATAGTGGCTGAACGATAACTGCAAGCGAGATAATCCCGGAGAGAAAAGATTCTATGGTATGAGACGGGAAAAACTCATTCTTTAGAGACAGGTATCATTAATACACTTGCGAATTTTCTTGACAAGCAACCGCGACGGGGCCAATCGAGCGGCCCGGCCCGCGGTGGAACCCATCGCCCCGTCGGGAAGGGCAGGTCCGCGCCCACTGCAGGCCTCCTGCTGTGCCAGAGCCTCCAAAACCGACATATACGTCCCCGGAGCGGAGAGAACATGGCCCGCACCTGTCAACAGAATCTCCACCCCGCGATCGATGCGTTCGAGCAAATCGCAGCTCAGCTGCAAGACGGTGGTGATCTGCAATACTCCATCCAACTTCAACGTCGACCCGTTCAAGTGCACATCGGAGAAAGGCACGGGGCCCGAGAAATTGTCCAGGACCGCGAGTGGGCCGGTCAGATTGCCAGCGGGGGTGTATCGCGCCACCAAGGATCGGACAGAGGTATACAGATCAGTGAGGACGCTGCGGTGCAAGCGGAGAAGCAGTACGTGGCAGGTTGCAATGGTTAGGCAGATGGGAAATTGGGTCTGGCACGCCGGGGGAAGGGCCGGTCGCGGTCCTCGACGTTTCTTATCGGGGTGACCGTTGCCGTGGCCGTTGCTGCTGGTGCTGCTACCTTTCTCGTGGCTCCCTCGCGACCAGGCTCGATTGCGCCCGTGGCTGGGGAAGGAAGGGGAAGGGGCTGACGGATGATCAAAGGTAGGAAGTGTGAACCAGGACGAGGCGTCCGAGACTGGGGCTGAAGCTGGGCGATAATCGCCACGGTACACAAGGTATTCGTCGTCCGAATCGCGGGAGCAGTCGGTGGCAGCGCAGTCCGGTGCTGGAATGCTGCAGACAGACTCTCGATAGGAGGAGACAAAAGATTGAATGATTTCTAGGAAGCTTTTGGAGCAGCGCATCATCTGATGCATCGAATGGTCACTCTGTGTGTTTGCAACATCGGACAAGCGCGATTCGAAGGCGTACGTGTCAGAGCCACTGGTAGACGGATCGGGTCGGTTTGTCACCTGACTTTCAATCCGATATACGTGTTCTAGAAGTGTACTATGAAGCTTCCACAAGCGCTCGACATTCTGCTCCTGAGGGTTTGCATTGACGGCTGCGGGGCCGGTCGGGCCGACGGCGTCGGGCTGCGAGCCCATGGCCAGATCGGCGAAGGCAGATGCGTCGAATACATCCATGCTCGGAAAATCGATGTCATAACCTATGTCTCCCTGATCAAACCCCAGTGCTGGTACCTCATTGATGGCGTTCATCTCGGCGATGCCGAGATGGGGCGAACGCTGGACAGTGGTACAGGAAGGTGGGGTCGAAGAGTCAGTCTCGGTGTCCTTGGATCGTGTCTCCACGGACGCCTTGCAGGATTTGCGACAGTAACGAGGTTTGGGATTCAAGGAGCGCGGTCGACCCATAGGCATGGGAGCGCTAGTGACACAAGTCAAATGGTTCCGAGCGCAGCGATCGCAGGCGATTGACGTATCCGTCCGGTGGGCTGTCCGATCACAGCGGAGCTTCTGACTGCGACACCGGTCACAGGCGTGGCGTCGGAACGGCTTAGATTTCCGACTCCCGCTATCAGATTCAGCCTGCGGCGTAAGTTGGTTCATTGAGTTTGGGGGTGATCTGAGATAGATAATCCCGAGTTACTTAATTAGAGTTGAAAGCGAGTGGAATGATTGAGAATAATATAAGAAAGGGGAGGGGAGTGTTGGTAGTCCCGAGGTGGCAAATATTTCGAAATGCCGTGTCTTTGATTCCACCCCACCGCCTGCTCGTTAGAGCTTTGGAAACGGGAGGGCGGGGTAGCCAAACTACACTGATAACAGTATCAAGTGTACATAAGCGCTTACAACCAACCTACTAGTTGAACATGGCAAGCCACTCCAACCACTCAACTACTTTTCCTGACCACGCAGCTCATATAACTGACAAAACTTATGCCAGTAGAGGTAAGGTATCTCCGCTGCTCCGCATGCTCACCTCTTACTAGGTAGCCCAATTCAGACTAGAGGTTTTTGACATCGCCGGCGAGGCTGTGGCCCGACCGGGCCCAGGGCCGGATAGTTGATATTGACACCGGCAGTAATTACAATGCAGCCGGTGTTGAACTTGATTTACATAAGCGGTATAGTAAGCAGCTGTATCCCCTCCGCTTGCGCGTTCCTCCCGCTTACCGATTACATTATGTAACATAATCGGTAAGCGGGCGGAACGCGCAAGCGAGTAGAACACCCAACTCGTAATTCTACTTTATATATAAATTTAAAGTTAAATATTAATTTTTTATACTATTTAAATCGTCTCTTCTTAATATTTTACTCTCGCTGGATATTATATCTATATATAACTAATTTTATTATATAAAAAACAGCAAAATAGCGCGCGGCGGTAAGACTGTTTCTTACTAACTATAAAATTATACTATTAGATTTCTAAAACTTTATTTTTTTTATAAGCCTGGCGAAAAAACTATATAGTTTTATAAACTATAGCTTCTTCGAGACCTACTAATTAGCAATTACTTTATTTTTTTTTTAATCTAGCGTTCGTCTGCAGTCTATAAATTATAATTTTTCTATTTAAATAAAATTATTTTATTTAATATAATTTTATAATTTTTAATAATATATAATAATACAGTTTTTATTAACTTCGGAGGACTTTTTATATATTTATATAATAATCTTTTAATTATAATTTTATATTTTTTTAATTATTTTATATTCTTAGGCGTTTTTAATATAAAAAAAGTAGTAGTTTGACTTTCAGTAGAAGTAATCTTTTATAAACTATATATCAGCTTTTTAAGTATTTTATCTAACTGAAAAAATATCAAACTAGAAGCTGAAAAGGTATTTTATATAAATAATTTCTTAAAGATAAGTTCTCAGACTTTAAAAAATATATCTAAAAAATTAATTTTATTAATATAATAGATTTCTTAGTAAATTAACTATTTAATTATACCGCCGTATGCCTTCTTTAACAGCGCGAAGTAGATAATATTTAAAAACTGATAAAAATATAAGAAATATAAAAATATATAGATAGAAATAATATTATTCTAACTATAAACTTTATTAAAATAAAATATTAAATAAAAGTTATATCTATTAAAAATTAGAAGGCTATATTTCCCGACTTGCCGTTTTTTAATTAAAAAAATAAAATAGTATTTAAGCTAATATAATCCGATCTTATTATTTATCTAACTATTTAGCAAGATATTAATTCTTTAAAAATAAGATATATTATTTTTATACCAGGCTTTTATATATATCTTTTTTTTAATAATAATATACAGAGGTAGGATCTAGTCTGAGGTATTAATATATTTAATTAATATTATTTATTTATAATTTTTAAATTATATAAAAAATAATTTATTTATATAATTAGATTTTATTACTATCTTAGCAGTAGCCACTAAGCCTATAGTAAATCTAATTTTATTAAAATTATAAATATCTTTATCTATAATTCTATTTTTTAATATAGTATTTTAAATACAGTTAAATTATTCTTTAATAAGCCTCGGATCTTCGCAGAGGGCCCTTTTATAATCATATCAGCAAGAGAAATATGTTTTTAAAGAGTCACGGCGTTTAATAAAGTTATATATCCATTTTTATCCTACTAAAGCCTCATCCGATGCCTTCAGTGAGGCTCCTCGTTTCCGGATCAGTATAGACGCCATTTTACAAACATGGGAAGGCCTGGCACGTATATCGCTTCGTGATTTGACTCCTTTGACGCGGTTCCAGAGGGTGGTTTGTGGAATGTTGAAAACGCGCGCTGCTTCTCGCAATGACGGAATTTGATCATTCTTTAAAGCCCCAATAGCTAAGAGGATCCTGTCTTCTTGTTCCTCACGTTCTTTTGACGATATAGCCATTTTGGTGGTTGATTTTATTGATTAAAAACCTCATATTTTGATGGAATGCGGAAATCACGAGTTGGGCGTTCCACTCACTTGCGCGTTCCGCCCGCTTACCGATTACGTTATTCTTATGACTCAAGAGCGATAAGGCTCTGCCCACCAGCAGCTGTAGTTGAAAGCTTTAACATAGGCTTAATTGTGTTGAGAAACGGGGAGAGCTGTAGTGTCGCCGGCCCTGATTCCTTAATCTGGATGGTTGCAGGACAAGACCGGAAACAGCGATACTTTTAGGCATTCGAGCTCTAGGACACCACGGACGTGCCATCGACTTGCAGTCCAATTAATTAGGATGGCGTGTTTTCTTCCTTTTCTCCTCGATTTTTCGCCGTCGCATTGACGATACTGGTCGGAGAAGTCGTCCTCCGGACACCTGGGCTCGACTGTATCTAAGGCCCGAGGTCGTGCGTCCACCTCAACGCCAAGGTCGGTCTCGAATAGCGATTGGAGTAGTTTCGAACACGGGATCAATCCGGCTTCAGTATGTAGATGGTAGATGGTGAAAAAAGAAAATCGATATTACGCTTGCCAAAGCTTGAACTCAGCCACGGGGGCTTGAGGCTGTATCGAAAGCTGCAAGAAAACGAATCGGCTTATCTTCGGGTAATTTGGACTCAACTCTACCAATTACGGATGGAGAAAGCCATCGTGTGCTTGACTACGGTACTTCTTCAAGGTGGACCCCGGCTTACAACAGGGAATTGGAGGGGTTCGGACATCGAGCCCGGAGATCTTCTGGTTTTGAAATCCGTCGGAGGACAGGGGTTCTGGCCGAGCTATGAAGGCGTGGGTCCCATTGCGCTCAGAGATCGCTCAGAGATAAACTCTCAACATTTGATCTTTTGTGTATCATGTTCGTACCTCTCATAGTTTTTGACCGTGGTTATAGAGCATGTGGCGGCACAGCCTCGATGAGATCTCCGTCTTTCAAAGCTGCACGAATCTTGCGGAATTGGCCGATAATTCCGCTGCTAAGGTTCGTTCGGAAAGTCGCGCGCAATGCCTCGAAAACAATCTATCGGTAAGGATCCTGGGGGCGGGGCTGCAGTCGGACTATGTTTGGCTCGATCCTTTCGCCAAGACGTTGGTCTAGAGAACAATTCTGGTTCAGCTTTTATTTACTAGCTCCGGGACGATTCAAGAAGCTGGGGTCATTTACAGATATGATCCGCCAGGGCCTTACGGTATTTAAGCCTCTCCGATGCCCTCGTCTGATTGCTGCTAGATGGCATAGTGAAGGGATCGCTGTGGCTCTGGATATATCGAATTGAGAATTACTGAGAGGTATGCTGATAGAGATTATAAGATAGAGGATTTGAAAGATATTTAATTAATTCTGTGGTTTATAGTCTGAGTTTCTCTATTCATGGTCCGTCACATAAGTCGTTTTGTTTCGGCGGGTAGGTCAGTGTTCGTAACAATCACAGCACGAACAGCATACTTATTCAACAAAGCACCCTGCTGGAATTATGGTCCCTCAGAAACCCAGTCGAATATGCTCAATTCAGTAGCCGTTATCTCTTTTTCTTTTAATATTTTCGTCGGTTTTGTTGCCCTCCACTTCAAGTCGAGCATGCCCGTCAAAAATGTATTGCCGTCAGTTTTGTACTGCGACATCTCTGAGGCCCCCCTCATGTCTTAAGGCAGCTCTGAGTATCGTGTTCGTCGAGTCCTCTATGAATACTTCACTGAAGAAAGAATAGCACTTGAGATTCTGCATCTTACTCAAAGACTGAGATCTTGAAGTACCTCTCTTGGGTGAATGATCTGATGCCATGTCAAATATGCTTGTAAAGGCTGTCTGTTGTTTGCTTAAACACATGCATTTTGAATCGTTCTGAAAGATCAAGACGCCGATAACCGAACAATCTCAAATCTTAGATATCTCAATTCTAAGTCAGTCAGCATTTGCAGTTCCAGCCTAACAGATATTAATAGACCTTACTTATCTATTAGAATAGTCGCCATCGCGATGGTATCTCTATCGGTGAAGCCATTCATTTTCAGCTGCAGTATCTTAGTCTGATGATTCAGACACCGGACAGGTGCACAATCTTGAGGGGACGTGGCTAATTCTATATCCTTGCCCGCCTGAGAGCTTTTCCAGCTTTAATTAGTCGATTTAATCAGATTAACGCCCTCTTCGGCATTCTTACCGAGTTCTCACGAACTGTCGCGGACCGAGTCTGTGGCTTCCTTGTATTTATAAGTACTTTTTTTGTAGACTATGACTGGAGCGACCAACTCCAAATTGCTGTTTCTACAAGATTGCTCTTTTCTTCTAAGAGAGAAACTTCGTATCTCGCTCTTTAAATTGAACAAGCCTGTTCTTTTTAATCACAGTCTAGGATATGCTGTTCATCTCGAAATAGGATTAAAATAGGCAAAATGGAGTATCTACTCTTTCTGCACACCTGGCTAGTTATTTACATATGAACCTCGGGCCTAACATCTGCACTATATATCCCTTATATCTAGCCTTATGAGTCTGAAAAATCGCATTTGTATCCGATTAGTGCTACTGTAGAGATATGGTTCAAGCAAATTTGATAATGAAAGTGTATCTATTATTTAATTAATGGCGCCGTGTTCTACTGCTTCTGTTCAATACGGCAATACTAAAATAAAACGAAATTCTACTGAAAGACCAAGATGTCTCCACAGGTTCACCAAATTAAGTCAACACAAGCGATTATCCTGTACTATGTTAATAAAGTGATCAGAAGCCCCACACAAGCGAAAAGAATCGGTTTAAAATTATCAGAATTGCAGTGGATTAGATTCGAGGGTTTGGTTCGTGCAATGTTTGCTGTTATACTAAAAGGAGATGAGTATTCCGAGATCCACTTCTAGCTTATTCCTCTCATTGGCGGGTTAGGCATCATCTCTTATTTGTTGTAACGGGCATGCGTCGCGTCGCGCAACCACGAATCTTCACTTTGCGCCCCGTTCGGGACCCAACGAGGATTCACAGCGCCGAGTGCAAACGACTCACAGAAGTAGATAGCCAGGCGATTAGAAACCGACTTGCTCTACAAAAGAATCTATACAAGAACCACTCGCTGAGAGGTAATAAACAAAAAGACGGAAGTACTGGTGGGAATAATACTGCAGTACAGCCACTAGCACCAGGATTACAGCGGCCAGCACCGCCGGTCCATACGCATCCCGCAACATAAAGAGCCCAACAAGAAAAAGGTCTAAGGTATAGACTCCCACGAACAAGTGTTGCAGTGCTTCCCAATAGAGTAGGCCTGCGGTGGCTACGGGGCTTTCCAGAATATAAATAACCTGATAGGCATACGGAAATAATTGTCTGATGATGTGTTCTGATGCAAGAGAAGAACCTGAAAAGTAAAAGACTAGAAGAATTTGGATATGGAGGCTATCAGTATATTGTAGAATGTGCTTCTGTGGTAACAATGTGTCAATGCTTAATTCTCTTATACGTTTTCTATAATTGTCTACCCACCGATGACTTACAATTCACGCAGAGCAATGTGGCATGACGTGGCAGGTATTCCAAATAACTTCTCAGTCACATCCGTGCATAGCGGGGTTGGGATAGTGGCTGCATAAGCGTCACTTGGATTAGAAACGGAACGTGTCATTGCGACATTTAAGCAAATCCCGCAAGAGACAGGGTCAATCCAAAATTCCACTTTTCTGTGTTATCTTTGCAGTTGATTTGGGTGTCATGTTGAGAATTAGACGAAACCATTTGACATTCTACAGCCGCAAGAACTGAGGTCCTTCCCTCTTCTTATCACATTTTTCTGGATTTCAAATCAAGTTGACAGGCTCAGAGCCAAGCGCAGTTGGAAAGAGCGATTTTCAATTCTTCAGACAGGGACGAACAACTTCCGCCACGATGAGATCCATATCCAGTGTTGAGCACGCTGCCTTACCTGTACCCCACGCTCTTTTCTCAGATGAACCGCCACCAAATAGCGGTCTTACAGCCTGGCTACAGGTTCTAGCTGGCCATCTCGTCGTCTTCAATGCCTGGGGCTATGCCAATAGTTTTGGGATATTTCAGAGTTACTATGCTTCATCGCTAAATCTTCCCGCCTCAACCATTTCCTGGATCGGTAGCACTCAAGTCTTCCTGATCTTCCTGATCGGAGCGGTTTCGGGGCGCGCCTTCGACACTGGTTACTATCGACCTATTCTGTGGGCTGGATGCTCGATACAATTGCTGGCCATGTTTACTACCAGCATCTGCACAAGCTACTGGCAGCTGTTCCTGGCACAGGGTATCTGTCAAGATTCGGCAACGGCCTCACGTTTTGCCCGACGATTGCATTGATTTCAACTTATTTCACGACTAAACGTACCATTGCTATATCGACCGCTGCGAGTGGTGCGGCAACGGGAGGAATTATATTCCCCATGATTGCAGAGCAATTGCTACCTCACCTTAGCTTTCCCTGGACAATACGCATTATGGGTTTCGTGGTGCTGCTGAATGTAGCGGTAGTACTGTCTATTGTTAAGGCGCGACACCTACCTCGCAAAAGTAGGCAGCTAATCGAGCTAGCAGCTTTTAAGGAGTTACCTTATTTGCTCTTTACGATCAGCATGTTCTTTACTCTTTGGGCAACTTATTTTGCGTATTACTATGTATGTTTCTCTGATATTGCCATGCTTTATCATATAGCTGTTCTATGCTGATAAAATTTTCTTAGGTACGTTCATATGCTCTCGATAAGCTTCATGTATCAGAGGCTTCCTCGTATAATATTCTTCTTATTGTCAATGCTATTGGGATTCCGGGTCGCATTGTTCCAGCCTTACTCGCAGATCACTGCTCTAGTGCGATAACAGTCCTTATTCCTATTATATTCTTTGCTGCTCTTTGTCTCTATATGTGGATGCTTGTGCTTTCGTTTGCGCATGAGATAGTTTGGGTCGTCTTCTTTGGATTCTTCGGCGCGGGTATTCAAGGCTTAATTCCGTCAACATTGGCCAGTCTGACAAAAGACCTGACTAAAAGTGGTACCAGAATCGGCATGGTATTTACCATCATCAGTATACCGTGTCTCACGGGACCACCTTTAGCAGGTAAATTGATTCAAGTATGTAACGGTAGCTACTTGGGTGCGCAAGTCTGGGGGGGTTCTTGTCTGCTTTTAGGAGGCAGTCTCCTAGTCGCGGCTCGAATGGCAAGCCTGGGGTGGCGATGTCCACTTGCAAAGCAATAAGCATCAAGGAAATTCTGTCTGATACTGCAGTAGCATTAAGGCAGAAAGAAATGGAGTTGGCTCATATATACATTGGAATAAGAGTCCAATATGGTGTGTAATCCAGATGGCCTACTCGCTTATGTGTCCGGCTCGTGTTCCATACGCATTATTTCACAAGACCTTAACAACTCAAATTAGAGGTATGCCACCTGCAGCAGTGATGCGAGTTGATGATATACCTTGCCATGCTCTTTCACTTGAGAAGGAAGTTCTTAAGCTTAAAACTATCCCCCAGGTACAAATTCCAAGAATTAATGCTCGTATAGACTAATCACCCCATATAAAATTTTCATTTTCACTACTGAACTTCCCTTGTGCGTCTCAGTCAAATCTCGATAGCTAGTGGCTTTCTCTGTACGGAAAGTGTTTCGTTTGGGATATCCGGAGGGGCGATTTCCCCGTGCTTCAAGATAGCCACTTTTCGAAAGAGTTTGGCGTTCAAAATTGAAAAGCATCCTTAGAACCAGACACTGCTTCCGTTTGCGACTGATTCCGCTCCGTCAAAATTTGCGCTGCATTTATCTCCAATACTTTTGCATATAACAGGAATTCTTCCATGTCAGGCGCCTAACGTCAGAGGAAGCAGATATTGTGATTGCAGCTTGCTTTCAGGAGGCGACGGAGACCAGTTTCATGCATATAATCAGGTGCATATAATCAGGTCTAATTTGTCAAACGAAGTTCAAATCCTCTGATTTGAAAGTCTACTGACGGGAGGTAATGTGATGGAGTAAGACCATCTGCTTAGGCATCGGTGAAGCCTTGAAAAAGCACGGGTCAAGACAATCCCATCCTGCTCCACTTGAAAAGGTGCTGTCCCTAAAGGGGCCCAACCTGCTCGTCTGATGCCTATCCTCTTATTACTTCATCGACAAATATAAGCTGATATGATGAAGAATCCGGGACATAGTGAGCATATGCGTCTAGTAAATCTGTGTTGCGCTCTTTGGGTTTTGTTTTGCTGTTCTTTTCGACCAGCCTCAACGTTTCAGAGCACGGCTGATGTTGCATGGCGAAACTTCGACCCCAAATTTATTATATAAGGAAAATGGCCGATTTATTAAGATACGAGCAGGGCTTTTTTATTAGGTAGTCAGGAAGCGCTTCGACCATTTCAGGTGTGAGGCGACGTGGGGCCTATGCCTTATGTGAGGGGCTTTCAGGCTCCCGAATAAGCCTATGTTGTTAATATGTCTGGTGATAGTCCTCGGATGGCAGCAGCAGCTTTGACAGTCCGGAAAGGAGTTAGTTTATTACTTAAGATTATAGGGTAAGATTATACTGTACCGTGGATGTACTCTAGTTCAGAGGCAGCGAGATTGGGAGCTATGTTTGCTCTGACTTTGATCAACGTGATTTTTTGAAGGAATTTTGGATTTGGAACGAAATGTCCACGTGGCAAGAAATGTTTTTGTATGAGAGGATACGAGTGACGAAGGCGGTGCTGAGTTACTTACTGTACTGTTATACTTTATATACAAAGCCTGGTAACAATGTCAGGATGAATTCTCCTAAAGTAATTAGCGGGCAGTGTGAATTAATCTTAGGCGGTGAACCAGTCTCAGGCGGTGAACCAGTCTCAGGCGGTGAACCAGTCTCAGGCGGTGAACCAGTCTCAGGCGGTGAACCAGTCTCAGGCGGTGAACCAGTCTCAGGCGGTGAACCAGTCTCAGGCGGTGAACTATTCTCAGGCGGTGAACTATTTTCAGGCGATAAACTATTTTCAGGCGGTGAATCAGTCTTAGGCGGTAGATCTAGTTCGAATATAAATTTTATTAGTAAGTAGTAAGTAAAATTACTTCACCGTCAGATGATTCTCTAATCGATGAATTAAATATTATATTTTTATATATTTTTCTTACTTCTAAATAAACTTGTATTTGTCTACTACGATGTTTAAATATATTATTGAATACGAACCGGGTTTCTGCTTATAATTAGAACTTATCTGAAAGAAAGAATTATAGCTTGTCTGAATTCGGGTTTATAATTCAGAATTAGAGCCAGCCGAGATAAGGTAGAAGAAAAAGCATCTTTTTATTATTTTAAAAGCAGTATCCGTCCAGTAATAAGCTGCTGTATGTTTAAGGTTGGTAAAATATATAAAATAAATATATATTAATCTATAAGTTCTTATTCTAAGAAGATATCAGCCAAGGATGCTGCTCTCTGTAATATTGAAGGAAACTTTATAGCTTACTTAAAATAATCTTAATTTAAATATATCTGAATTAGAGTATATCTAATTATAGGCCTGGAGGGTAGAACAGCCGGATAATATATTAGATATGTTTAAAATATAGATAATAATTAAAGAAAATTCTTATAAAAACAGTTAAATAATAGATCATGCCTGTTTTTTTTAATAAATATTAGATATAGATAATTAATATATAAAGAGTTGTTCGTTCAGCTATTATATATATAAATAATTTGATATTTTTTATATTTATAAATACCGACTTTAGAAGTTGGTAGCTATAGCTGATAAGTATTAACTTAACTTTACTAATCTTAAAATAATAATTTATAGTATTTACCTGGCAGTAACGTACGGCTGTTCTAATTAGATAAATTATTTAGTATTTTTTTTATAACTGCTGATTTTTAATAGAAGATAATCCTACTTTTTTATTTACTATTCGCGGTAAGCGAAGAATTATTATTTCTTATTTTTATTACTATACTAGTATGCTTAGGTTTATACTATTACGATAGGTTATATAAATAATTATAGGCTTTAAGATTTTATATAAAATATAGTAAAAGTTTTCTAATATTAATAATTTATAGAATTCTTATTTTTATATACTGTTTTATAATATATTCTATAACAGCTTCTCGGATTATATAATTATACTATTATATATATTATTCTTTCAACCGATTTTTAAATATATTTCTATATTTAATTTTAATAATAGAATACTGTAGTCTGTCTTTTAAACTCTCCCGCGGTATAAAAGAATAGCCTTTGTTTTTATAAATAATAATAATACAATCAACTATCTTTTTCTTTATTCTTAGTTTTTAAAGTATTTAGTAGTTTAAACTAGAGGTGAATAAATTTAGCACATCTGCAGTATAGTCGATAAAATTAAATAAAATAAATATCTAAAATATTTCTTAATATATTTTTATATAATTTTTTTATAAAGACTGTGAATTCGAAATTTTCCAGATACCGATCTATTATTATATATATTATTAAATAAATACCTATCTTATTATTTTAAGCTAAAGATATTATATTTAAGTTATTTTATATATAATATTAATATTAAAAGTAAAAAATATCTACAGCGGTTATATATCTTCCTGCTAGAATATATAATTACAGTACTTCAAAAGATATTTAAAAGAATAATATTATATAATTTTAATATATTATAATAAAGAAGAATACCGTATTTGGTTCTGTCTTTGAATTAGTATGTTTTAAAAAAATAGAAATTAAACTGAAGATTTCTATTTATAAATAAATAATTTAACGTATGTTTTTGGAAAAGATATTGTAATATCTGTACTACTAAGTCTTATTCAGCTTTTCAGATGTTTTTAAAATAGTATATTATATATACTACTAGAGTGGCTAACGGCCAGGTCAGATCAGGTTAATTAGAAATTTTATATCTGACCGCCAGATTATAGCCAGATTAAAAAAATTTTTATATCTGACTGTAGTATAGTTAAAAAACAGACGGTTAACTATCTTAATTATTTTTAATATTAAAATCTATTTATTATATTTTTTTAGATTCTAATACAGTTAAGATATATTTAGATTAAATAGTTATTAATCTGACTATCTTAACTATTATTTAAAAATATATATAATAAAGCTTTTTAAATTAGAAAAAAATAATTAAAAAAAAGTATTAGTATCTTCTTTATTTCTATATCTAAAAATTAATAAAAAAATCCTAGTAGTATTAATAAAATTTAGCTTTTTTAAAACTTATTATTATTATAATAAGAAATATATATAAAAATATATAATTACAGCTCTATTTAGACCGTATATTTTAATAATAATTTATAATATTAGAAAAATTATATATTTACTACTAATTAGACTACTAAGAATAAATATACTGCTATTATTTTACTATTTTTTATTTAAATTAAATTTAAATAGTTTATTATATTCTTATTTTCTATTTAAAAAAGCTGGATTATCTGTTTTATAAATTAAATTTCTAATAGGAAATTTATACTATATTATTTACTTAGTTATTTTTAATAATTATATTTTCTAACTACTATTTAATCTATTTATTAAATATTATAATATAAATTTAGAATATTTAATTTATTTAATTAACCCGTTCCACCTGCCTGACCAGTTTAATCTATTAAATTTAGATTACTTTAAAAAAATAAATATAAAAGCCGGATACTAAAGTTTATAATATTTAAATTCTATAATCTAATTAAAAAAAAATCTGTTTGATTTAACTGTTTTATATATAATATATAATTAATTTAATATTCTATCTGCTTCTGATTCTATTAGTAGCTTTTTCGAATTATATTTTATTTATATATTTAAAAATAGTCTGATTTAGATTATTAATTAAAAATAAAAAAAACTATTATTAAAACTTTTTAATTTGAACTATTATATTTATTATTTCAGCTTATTTATATTTTAATATTAAATTTATTAAAATAAATAAAATACAGTACCGCAGTAGATGTTTTAGCTATATATTAAAATATAATAAATTATATTTATATAAAAATATATTTTAAAATAAAATAAACTATTTTTATAGAGTTTTCTGCTTCTATTTTTTTATAGCTATTATTTATAGAGTAGTTTTAGAATTATAAATTAATTATATTTATTTAATTTATTTTTAAAAAATACTATTGAGTTTTCTTCTTCTATTTCTTAAATTTTTATAAATTATAATAATATTTAAACTAAAATAAGTTTTTTTAAATTAAATTTTTTCTTCTTTCTTAAATCTTAAGATTACACGCGTTGCGAAGAATTAAAAGATTATTTTATATTTAATTTTTTAAAAAAAACTTTTTATTTTTTAAAATTAATAATAGAAGATAATTTTTTTTAAAATCTATATACAAGCTCGAAAACCGTTATTTTACTTTAATCAAAAGAAGTTATTAATAATATAAAATAATTTTTAAAAAAATATATTATTTTTTAATAAAATTTTTTATATCTACTGTATTGCATGCCTCTATATTTTATAATATTTAGAAATTAAAAATATAAAAACTAGTTCTTTAAGCTATTATTTTTATAAGAATTATAAAAAGAAAATAATATTAATTATATTTAAATAAATAATTAATTAGATATTTAATAATATATTATTATAAATACTTATTTATTTTTTAAAGATAATTTTTTTTTAATTATTATTTTTTTCAGACCTCTACAGTTTATAATAAATAGAATTTTTAAAATTAAATCCTATATTTTATTATTATCTATTATCTACTATTCCGAACTGTTAAATATATTTAATTTAAATAAATAATTAATTTTATTATTTTATTTCTATACTAAAAATTAAGTCCGTTTAATCAAACGCAGATTAAAAAATATCTTTTAAAATTATTAAAAAATATATATATATAATTATTATTAAAATTTTTAAATATTAAATAAATATTAATTACAGTAGACTACTGAACTAGTTCTAATTAAAAAATATTTCTTATTTTAATTAGATATTTTTTAATAGAAGATATAAATTATTATAAGATTTTACTAAACTTCCGACCGGTATTTAGATTTTATATTAATAAAAATCTAAATATAATTATTTTATTAATTTTATATAAATATAATTTTTTTTATTAATTGTTAAGTATAACGACTGATAATACTAATAATAATAGTTTAATATTTAATATAATCTTTTTTAAACTTCGGATTTAGCTTAACTAAAATATTCAGCTTTATAATACTTTAATTAATTCTAATCTTTTAAAGATTATTTAAAATTAGTATTATATATTTTATTTTATTTATATAATTCAGTTTATAATTAATATTCTTCTGTAGAAACTTTAGATTAAAACTTTAAACAGTACTATTAAATATATATAAAATAATTATAATAAAAATTTTAAAGTCTTTTTTAATATTTTAAAAATTTTTAAAAAAATATATTTTAGAAGTCTTCTAAAAAAGACTAATATAAATAGTATATAAAAATCTTTTTTAAAAGTCTTTTATAAAAAATTAATCTAAACAGCTTTTAAAAAATCTTCTTTTAGTAATAGTTTATTATATTAATTTTTTATTATAAATTCAGAAGATTATATAATTTATAAATATAAATTTTGAATACTGTAAGAAGTTTCAGCTTATTTAATAATTTAAATCTAATTTAGTTTACTATTTTTTTTAAACTGCAAAATCTGTTAGAATTTAATTTATTTTATAATTCGCCGGGTATTTAATTTTTATTAAATAATTAAAAATTTTACTTAGTACTGTAAGTATAATAATATTAATTATTTTTATTCTACTATAATTAAATAAAAATAAATAGAATATTTTTTTAAGCTTTTATATCTCTTTTTTTTTTTATATTTTATTTATTTAAAAATAGTAGGCCTACTGTTTATAAAATTTATAATATTTATAACAATCTTTTTAATTATTTAGATTATTTAATCAACCGACTGGTAAAAAAAGCAGATACTCTAAAAAAAAAATTTTAAAAACTTATATAATATATATTAAAAGTTTCGAAAGTATTATTATTAAATTTATTAAATAGAAGATTATATTTATATAATTATAATTATTTTAAATCCGATATCGAAACTTGAAAAGTTTAAAAAAGATATATAATTAAATAATAATATTAATTAATATTATAAATATTAAATTATTTTTAAAAAGATATTTTATTTTTATTATAGTTAGAATTCGGTTATTAATATACTGTCGACAGTCTTCGGATTATTATTAGATTTAGATAGAATCTTTTATAATATTTTTAAATATTAAAAATTCTTATTTACAGCCGAAACATTCGAAGAACTTAAAATATATCTAAATATTAAAAATATATAGCTTTTTTAAAATATTTTTAATTAAATTAATATTATTTTAAATATTATAAAATATACTAATATTTTTATTTACTAAAAGTCCCGCTGTGATTAGTTTTCTATTTTCTATTAAATAATTAAAAATTTTCTTTTAATTATAATTAATAATATTAATATTAAATATTTTTTTAATAGTTTTTAAAATATCTGCTACTATCACCGGAGCTGTTTTTATTCTAATATAATTAAAATAATTATACTTTAAATATATATTAATTATTTTACTATTAGTAAGAAATATTAAGATATTTTTAATAATTTTAATTCAGACTCGATTATCTTTATATTTAAAAAATAAGAGAAGAATAAGATAATTAATATCTTTTATATTAATAAAAATAAAAATATAGATAATTTTAAAAATAATTTTAAGAATAGATTATTACTAGTAATAGAAGAACTAGTCTTATTTAAATTAAATATTATATATATTTAAATAAAAATAGAAATCCGGTCTTTATAATTTTTATATTATTATAATTACTGTTTTAGATAATATAAAGAATAGTATAATATTATTAATATATTTATTTAATAACAGATATTATTTTTTTTATATTAAGCTTTTATTTTTTAAATAAAATAGATAGCGCAAGTAGAGTAGATAAATAAAATTAAATAAATTAAATAAATTAAATAAATAAATAAAATTAAGTAGATAGACGAAGTTAAGTAAGTAGATAAGATTAAACAGATAAATAAGATTAAATAAATAAATAAAATTAAATAGATTAAGCAGATTAAATAGATTAAGCAGATTAAATAAATTAAATAGATAGATAAAATTAAGTAGATCGAGTAGATAGATTAGAACTAAAAAATATTACTATACTATAATTAAAAATATATTATATTTTATATATTATTTATATAAAAGAAATATATATATTATAAATTAATCTGCGGTTATTAATCTATCTACTATATCTGATTTTTTTAACCGACAGATATAAATAATTAAAATAACAGTTATATTTTAATCTAATTTTAACTGTACGGTTAAAAATTTTTTATACTTTAATCTGACTGCTAGGTTATAGCCAGGTTAAGATTAAGATATAACGGTCAGGTTAAGCCACTCTATATACTATAAATAGAGAAGTTTTAAAGCCTTTAATTTAGTAAAATATTATAAGATTTAAAAAAGTAGTAGATAGGAGAAGAATAGGTCTGAAGTAGTTGTAGAACATTATTAATTTATAAATAAAGTCTTTTTAATAACTTTAATAAAAATTTAGATTAATACTATTAGTATTTGAGAGTATGTTGCTGTTAGAAAGTTCGAATTAAATATAAGATAATTATTAAAATAGGATTAAATATTTTTAAAAATTAGAAAAATAACGGGCACGCCGGCCAAGACGAAAAATAAAATAAATAATATTAGTAGTATATATTTTATTTAAATTATATAACTGGATTGTATAAACTTAAGCATGCGGTTAGAATAATAATTATTTTTTTAATATTTATTTTTAGAGCAATCCGGGATAGCTTAGAGATTATTTAGAATATATATTTTTGTACTCTTCCCACGCTCTGGGCCGCTTAGGAAGTAAAAAGCGGCGCTAAGTTTAGTCTAAAGCGGAAAGGGAAAGTCATTCGATTTCCGCAGCAATCCAGTTCGTTAGATCCCTAGTATGATAGCAATCTCGGGAAGATGGCACCAAAATCCACCACACTCTTCACTATCTGACGAAGCTCTCCTGTATAAGATGCAGCTCAACAATGAAGCCCGTACCAATCCCAGATTAGATGCAAATCCCCGCCAGATTCACCGGCCGACGACCCCAGCAGAAGACATGATATAAATGGAAGACCACCATGTACCAACCACTGAGTTCACCTGTCACGACAACCTCCCGCACATTCACAACCACGAACTTAGCATCACACCACAATCACCGACCCACCAAACACAATGGATCCCCACGTCATCCTCAACCACGGCTGGTACGACTACTTCATCCGCCGCCTCGAGGAAGGCGGGTACCGGTACTACCTTGTCGTGGGCCCGCGCTACATCTTCTGGGCGTTCCCGCCGTGGCCGGACGCCCCCATCGTGGCGGTCATCATCCATGCGGACAAGATGGAGGAGTTGATCGTCTGGCTGCTCTCGCTGGGGTTCGTGCCGTGCCTGGGGTGTGGACGCCGGCAGATCGGGCGCCACTTCCATATCCAGGACCGTCCTAATAAGGAGATAGAGTTGGTCCTGTATGTGCTCACCGAGACGGAGATGCTAGATCTGGATGCCAACCTCGCGGATCGCGATGCGGATTCCCCTGGTATGAATATGATCCGGGTTCCCTAAGGAGGGTCGTTGCGGGTCGGATTCTATGCCACTGCACTGTCCTGACTCATTTAGTTTGAGAAACGCATCAGTAAGTATGGTAAGTCGTTCCTGCTAGGTGCAGTCCAGTTCAATGAAATTCAACTCCTGATTAGAACAGTTTAATAAGTAAACGCTTCCCGCACCAGAAACCTGCATGATCCCATCATCTATCCACTATCGCTAACCACAACCCTGAACAACAGGTAGACCACAACCTCACCAAGTAATACTAACCAACCTTCCCCAATACCCGCCCGCCCACCCAATTCCCATCCCCTTAACCTTCTCCTTGACCTGCACGGGCCCGTCGAACCCCAGCACGGCATTCTCAAAGATCCACCGCCCGACCTCCGTGCGACTAATGCCATACCCGACGGCGGGCTCCTCTTCCGTCCCGACCCGGATCTTCTTATCCTTGCCCTCGACCAAGAAACTCGGCCGCACGACCAGATAGCTGCCCAGCGCCCTGGCATCCCCCAACGCCGCATCCGCCCGGATCATCGCCTCCATCTCCTTCTTGTCCGCGTGCGGCACCTTCAGCATCCAATTATACAACGGCAGCATCATGACCGGCACGTCGCGCTTCGAGTCCACGCCCGTCGTGCTGATGACGGCCAGCTTGGGTTTGCCGTGCGCCTGCTCTTGCTCTTGGAGAGCGTGCAGAGTCGCGAGTAACGTGCGCATCCCATCCTGGCACACGGTCGGGTTCTCGAGGGTCGGGTGCAGCAGATTCGAGAAATTGGGCTTGCTGCCGATGCCGCTGATGATCAGGTCGACGGTCTTCGGGGCGAAGGTGCCCGGGGTTTGGTCCGGGGCGAGGAGGGTGGTGCGCACGGCGGCGGCGTCCGTCGCGCTACCCGGGATGATGTGTAGGTTTTTGAGGGCGGGGGCGGGGAGGTTGTACGGGGCGAGCAGGGTGGTTAGTTTTTCGGGCGTGCGCACGACTGAAGATTGTTAGTGGTGATGAAAAAGGTGGTTGTGGTGTTTTCCTTTTAGGGTTGCGTACTTGCGTTGCACTTATACCCGGCTTGGAGGGCGAGGACTAGGCAGTGCAGGGTGCAGCCGCCTGTGCTGCCGAAGAAGGCGATCGTGGGGAGGAAGTTCGGGGAGGTCATTTTCGGCGATGGTCAGAGCGAATAGAGTGTTGATGTTTTGGATTCTGATCTGCTTTTTACATTTTCGAAGTTGTATGCCAGGATATATTTATATGCTGGTTAATGTTGCTGTTGCGGTGGTCAGCCTTGTGTTGGTGCTACCCGGAAAAATGCTCCGCGCAGGGACGGAGACTTTGGCGAGCCGTGATGTTTTGGCCCCGACTCCGCCACTTTCCTCGTATCTGAGACTATACTTCCCCCACTGGAACTGTAACCGAAATGACGTTGTTTCATGAATGCTTTGCCTGCATGGATTTAATGCGACTACAATGCTAAAACTCACAGAGTGTAAACAACACTAACATCGTAAGTCATGTCACACGCACCAGAACTGTATGCTACTCCCCCCTCCGCCAAGGGAACCCCGGTTCCTTACACCCATCCACCAACTGAAAATACCACCGATGCGCCGATAGCCCCCTCAGCGAGGGCGAACCTGTGCCCGTATTGCCAGCATAGTTGACCGACCCCTCGTAGACCGCCACATCCTGGGGGCGCACGGTGACATTATCTCCGGACAGGATATGATACTCCGGGCTGATATGCACATAGTTCATGATCAGCAGCGGCAGCTTCGGGATTGGGTCGTTCGTATGTGTGAAGCGGTAGTTGCCGCCCTGATTGGTGATGAACTGCGCTAGCGCCTCGTTCCCCACCCGCGGCGACGCGTAGGCGTACAGCGCCGCCTTGTACCCGCGCGTGCGAAGATCCGCCGCCGCCAGAGTCGCAACTGCCGCGCCAAGACTGTAGCCCACCAGCACCAGCTCGTAGTCGCTGTACGCATTCTGTAGCTGTTCGAGTTGTCGGATCACGTCGCTGCGGATCAGCGTCCATGAGGTCCAGAAGCCCAGCTCGGCTAGGCAGCCGTTGCACAGGTGGGGGTCGGTGAAGACGAACATCACGTCCGCCAGCCAGTTGCGCACCGAGTAGGAGCCGCGGAACGAGATGATGCGGCGGCGGTGGGTGTGGTCCACGGCTACGAAGCCAGCGGTATCGGTCATCGTGGCACTATTCGCAGAAGCGATTAGTCCAGACTCAGCCTGAGGTACATCGCGGCTGGATGGTATACTTGGAGAAGGCAAGCGCAATTGTCGTGTTGGTGGCCTCAATGGCTGGGCAGCCGCGGTCCCAGCACCGGATCCTCGCTCCCGAGGACTTGGGGTCATAGTTGTTGCTGCAGTAGGCGGCGTCCGCATACTGTGCCCAGAATGCGAACTCGGAGAGTTGATGGGAGGAAACGTCTGACTGGGATCAGTGGCGGATTGATGGATAAGGATTAATGGAACGTGCATACATACCGCGGGCCTGCAAGGCAGGATGGGCCTGGCACAGCGATACCAGCATCGAAAGCACGGCCAGAACGCAATTCAGAAGGGCCATCCCGTGTTGGGAGGAGACTGAGGATCAAAAGCAAATGGCGGAGGTGCTATCCGGGGAATTGGAGATGGGGTCGGCTATATTGGCTTCTCAGGCCCAGCCAGGTGCAAACTTTCAGACTTGTTCTGCAACGTGGAACCCATAGCCCTTCGACTCCCAGAGTCAGGCTCCGAGCTCACTTACTTGACAGGATCGGATGAACGGAATGGGATGTGTTCATCTCAACCCCGCCCGGATGGAGAAGGTGCAACCAGTGAGACGGGCTCGACCGATGCCCACAAATGACAGCTTCCTGATGAATTGCCGGAGGGCTGCTCCGGGAACACGTCGAGGCTGGCTCAGTCGTCTATCAATGCACATCTTGGCAGGTCGACCGACCCAGTCAAAGACTCCGATAGCCTTGAAGGTTCCTTGGGAGTGACTCAGCCCAAACAGAAGCCTAGCAAGGGATGCCATGATTGAGTTTCTCGGGTCACGCGCGGAATGTGCGGTCGCTCTCAGCAAAGTCAATTCATATGGACGCAGTTACCCAGTAAGAGTCATACGAATCAATCCAGGGACTGCCAGTGTTCTGATCGCATGGCACCAATCGACCTCTGGACGGACCGACAGCGAGCAGTCCGTCCATTCTCGGGTGAATTGCCGTGCGGGGAAGTGATCGGGCAAGTCAGCATGTGGAGATCGCCGACTTCTTGATGGTATTGATCTATGGCAGGATCTGGTCTCTGGGTATGTGCAATTCAATGTGTAAGTGAATCCTGAAGTCTCCGAGGCCAGCGGAGAGCTCCCGTAGGGTTTCGAGATTCCTGCATCAACATTGGCTTGCTTGCCCATTCGCCTGCACAAACCATCCTGATGATCACTGCAGTCTGTCGATGATGCTCACGAATGGAAGACTGTCAAGGAGATGTCAACCCGTCGGTTCGGGGGTGTCACAGAAGCAGTGACACGGTGAGAAGCAGAACCCAACGGTCACGTGATAGCAGAGAAGTCCCATTCGTGTCGACGTGCGAAGCCACAAGCAGAAAACCAGACAGACTTTTTCGTCTGCCAATAGTTGAAGACACACTTGTCAATAGCGACGGGAAGCAGCAGACCTCGGATTGATGTCACACTCAGCTTGGGCCGCGGCTGTGGCTGACAGCGTCTCCCTCATGGCCTCGTACAACGTGAGGTCATCCAGTGTTTATTCAATCTCCCACCCCGCATTGTTTCTCTGGATGGCACCGTCCCCGCGACTGTATTTGTTATTGGTCAACGTGGCTTGACAAGCACACTTGTCCGACCGTGGGACATATCCATTTAATTAATCAGGTGCCAACCCGGTTAAAAACAATCCAGCAAATGCACTGCGACTCTTGGTTTGCGGGAGGCCCAGGTCTGGCTGTTTATCAAACGGTGAGAGTGAGCTCCAGAAAGATAGTCAGCATTAGCCCTGTATATGACAATCAAAATTGGAATCAAGCGATGAGGGTTACTCTCGGCCGGCACCTCCACATGACCGGGAGAAGAATGTCTACCTAGCTCTTCCACGATACTGCATGACACCCTCCATTCCCCTCCAATCTGGTCACACCACTGCCTAAATCATCATTTTTCACAATGATAAATGATCCAATCGATGATATTCAACAGACCGGGAGCATACCGGGAACATTCATCGCCCCAAATAAGGTTGGGATTCTACAATGGTGCCTAGTTGGCATCATCCGGGTGCAATCAGCTTTGACATGCTCGGGTCAATGCTTTAGACGGTCGTCATCCCTTCCCATGTGAGAAGTACCACTTCGGATGTTTTCGCATGCATGCTTTGCTTGTTCGATGATGGGATCTTCCACAGGAGATTAGGCTATAGGATGCAGTGCAGAACCTCACCAATGGTATTTTCCCCGAAGATGACCTGACCACCACCACAAATCGGCGCGAGATGAGAAATAGTGAGACAAGGTCAATCTATCATCAACTCAATTTACTCCGAAGGGATGCACTAGATTGGAGGCAAGTTGACTAGTACCTTATCATCCTTCCTGAAGATTATCCAGCCCGGTAACGACTCCACCCTTAGTGTCTTGGTCCCTGGCTTAGGCAATCTATCTGACGCCAGAAGAGGGAAATGGGTCCGATGACAAACTCTTAGTCAGGAGAATGAGGTTTCAGGCAGCTAGGCTAGGCTCGAATCAGCAAACAACCGGGGACTGGACCCTGATCGACTCGAATCTATCCGTGCCGGGCCGGAACACAACCAGTCAATTCGCTCCTCGGCATGCCGAGTCCGGTGGAGTCCGATTGATAACCTTCAAGGTTGCCTTCACCGGATACCCGTTTTTTGTTTCAAAGTCAATGGCGTGCTGGGCTCCACTTGACGGTCTTCCCGCGGAATCATCCCGTCGCTGACCGATCGTGTCTGTATATCTGTTTGGTTCAGATATGAAGAGAGGAGGAAGGCGGGACGGAAACCACCCGCTTGTCTCAAGGGCAGAGGTATATAACCCTGGTAGATGCAACTGAACATGTACAAGAGTCACCAGGTTCAGACATCTGTTTCGTCATGTTCCGACCGTTTGTTCTCCTGAGTGCCCTGACGGCCGCGTTGGCCTCGCCCATCGCACACGCCTCCCAGGCCGAATACGACTACATCGTCATTGGCGGCGGCACCAGCGGATTGGTCATTGCCAATCGCCTGTCGGAAAACGCCAACGTATCTGTCCTCGTGATTGAGGCGGGTGATTCCGTGCTTCACAATGCCAATGTCACGGCCGTGGATGGCTATGGGCTGGCGTTTGGCACGGGCATCGACTGGCAGTACCAGACGGTCAACCAGACCTATGGCGGCAAATCTCAGATGGTCATGCGTGCTGGTAAAGCCTTGTCCGGAACCAGCGCCATCAACGGTGTGCTACCTCCCATTATCATCTCTGTCTCTCAAACATGCTTACTGACTCATGTTTTTGTTTCTGCTCAGGGATGGCCTACACCCGTGCCGAAGACGTGCAGATCGACGCCTGGCAGCAAATCGGCAACAGGGGCTGGACCTGGGACAGCCTGTTCCCCTACTACCTGCAGAGCGAGAATCTGACCATCCCCACCCGCAGTCAGCGCCTGGACGGGGCGACCTTCAACACCTCCTACAACGGCGAGCAGGGTCCTTTGACGGTGGGTTGGGGCGAGATTCCGACCAATAACCTGACTGCCACGATCAACGCAACCTTCCAGGGCCTGGGAGTTCCCTGGTCTGAGGACGTGAACGGCGGCAAGATGCGCGGAATCAATATCTACCCGGCCACCATCAACGTGGCTGCCAACGTGCGCGAGGACGCCGCCCGCGCCTACTACTGGCCCGTCGCCGCGCGACCCAACCTGCACCTGCTGCTGAACACCTTCGCCAACCGTCTGATCTGGCAGGATGAAGCTCCCAAGGGCGAGGCCGTCACCGCCGCCGGCGTGGAACTCACCACCGCCAACGGCACCACCACCGTCGTTACCGCGCGCCAGGAGGTCATCATCTCCGCAGGCTCCCTGAAATCCCCAGCCATTCTCGAGCTTTCCGGCATCGGCAACGCCACCCTCCTGCACAAGCACAACATCAGCGTGCAGGTGGATCTCCCCGCCGTCGGCGAGAACCTGCAGGACCAGACCAATACACACGCTGAAGCCGCCACGCACGCCACCCTGGCCGGCACCAAGTACGTCGTCTACCCGGACATCTACGACGTGTACGGCAACGAGACCGCCGCCGTGGCCGCCTCCCTGCGCAAGAAGCTGGACGACTACGCCCACGCCGCCGCGGCGGTCAGCCACGGCGTCATCACGCCCGCGCACCTCAAGGAGCTGTTCGAGGTCCAGTACGACCTCATCTTCACCCAGCGGGTCCCCATCGCCGAGATCCTGTACTACCCCGGCGGCAGCGCGAGCATCTCCTCGGAATCCTGGACGCTCTTGCCCTTCGCCCGCGGCAATGTGCACATCGCCTCGGCGGACCCCGCCGCCATGCCCGCGATCAACCCCAATTTCTATATGTTTGACTGGGACTTGGACAGCCAGATTGCTGTGTCACGGTATATCCGGGAGACCTTCCACGCGCAGCCGCTGCAAGGGTTGGTGGAGGGGGTGACGGTGCCGCCATTGGAGGATGATGCGTCGGACGAGGAGTGGAAGGCGTGGTTGCTGGATGGGAACTGTGAGTCTGCTGGTTTTGTTTTCTTTTTTTTCTTATGTCAAAGAAGATGGCTAATGGTTGCTTGGATAGATCGCTCGAACTTCCACCCCGTCGGCACCGCCGCCATGATGCCCCGCGAGAAGGGCGGCGTCGTGGACCCCAGCCTGAAGGTGTACGGCACCCGCAACGTGCGCGTCGTCGACGCCTCGGTGCTCCCCTTCCAGGTCTGCGGTCATTTGACTAGCACCTTGTATGCGGTCGCGGAGCGGGCGGCTGAGCTGATCAAGCAGGAGTCTGCTTTGTTTTAGACTTCCGATTGCTTGATTGTATGTTAGAGAATGGCATAGACGTGGTTCAATAGGGCATGTGTTTTGGTCACGTTACGGGTCTTTAGTTAGTGTGGTTCGACTAGCTGTAGCATAGGCAAACCATGCCATAACCCCCTGTCGACATCGTACTCAAAGCCCCAAAACACACTACGTTTGTTTATCTATTTATCTGTTCACCTATATCTTGATTTAATTCCATTTTCTTCCTTGCCTTTCATATTGTCCCGCAGTATACAATAGTACTTCCTGCCTTGTCACCCTTGGATCGACCCTGCCTTATAGGCAAAGTACGATATACGAGGGCCTGACCTGCGGGTTCCTCCCTTGGCCAAGTCGTTGCTACGCGCCTTTAGCGGGCCCAGCAGGGCCCGTACGTGCACCTGCCTAAGCATCTTCTTAAGCATCTTTTCAAGCACCTTCCCTAAATTCTATTTAGATATATGTGTAGTGATTCAGATCTACGGCCTAAATCTGCAGCTGGGGGGCCTTGCATCATCCCCAGACCCCCCTTGCAAGCCGGCAAAGCGCGGTTGAACCGACTTAAACTGATATAGAACCAGTTCAATAAACTTAAATTACCAATCAGAGAACGAATGCGTGTATACTACTATGTAACTCCTTCTTTACCTGGCCAATGATAGGATATAAAAAAGTCGTTGATACAGCCAATCAGCGGTCAGAACTCTTGCTCAGGCCCTTATAGAGTACCAACTTCCACCCATGTTTAATCCTGGGATCACTCTTGGAGAAATTAGTGTTGGAACTGGAGAGGGTTCCCGCTCGAAGGTGGTCAGAGATTATGTGACTATACGCTGACCTCTTGGAGCTCTTTTTGTTATTTAACATTCAAGATGGATCTTTAAGCCTCTGTTTACATTAGAACATTAGGATTTTTAGGGGCCGAAGATCCTTATATTAGGATTCTACATTAGAGAATATCTTTGATTATTCTTCTACCTTAGGATTGTTGGGGTTTATATCACTTCTAAAATAGCTATACAAAGAGTAAAGAAGCTTAGAAAAAGAATCAAGTTATTCTAACTCTCAATAGAGTCACATGTTTCAGCTTTTCTGACCCCCTCGGAGCTAATAGCCCGAAGTGGAGAATCCAAAGCTTTTGGACTTAGTTGTAGGGGACTAAGGCGAATAACTACCTCCTTGTTTCTAAGCATAGCTAATTCAAAATATAAAGTTCATTACAGCACACCACGAACTACTCTGCATGCATTTTGTGAGAAGGGGAGAGAGAGGGGAGAGAGAGGGAGGAAGCTACAGTATAGTACTGTACCAGTAACCATACAGGACTCCTGTCGATTTCGGTCACTTGTTTTCACGTGATCCATCTCCCTTCCGAGGATGGATAAGTGGATATCCAGTTTCCCGCTTCTCATTCAATCTCCCTACAAGTGACTTACTCGTCTTGGGACAATCCTCGCTCATTTGTCGAACGTTCTCAAACGTGGTATGCATCTACTTACTCTGTTTCGCAATGAATCTTACATGTTCCCGCTCCAATTACATACCACAGTACAATGTCAGGAATCAGACTGATAAGCGAGTCCACATATGTCTTTCTCAACCTCACGGACCACACACTGGATGATGTTGACGAATCCCTGAGGCTGGACAAGCAATTGAAGCTCGATCCTCATTCTGCGCGCTACGGGCTTGGTGCTCTTGAGAAGCTCCCACTCGAGATCCTCCACCTCACGCTCCTTGCGCTGGACGTACAGTCAATGACGGATTTCCGTCGCGTCAACAAAAGAGCAAGGATCGTCGCGGGCTCAATTCCGCAATATCGCCGAATCCTCGCGCACGCGCCCGCCGCCCTACGCGGCAGCCTCAACCTCGAAACCGCCCGGAACTTCTCCTGCCAGGCTTTGTACGAGACACTCTCCACCGCCGAGTGTAACGGGTGCGGCGATTTCGGCGGATACCTCTACTTGATCACCTGCCGCCGGGTGTGTTTCCTGTGCCTTACCGAGAAGACCGACTACCTCCCCCTGTCCCGGAAGGATGTGTTTCGCAAATTCGGGCTGGACCCGACTCATCTAGCGCGTCTGCCTCGCATGAAGAGCTTCCCGGGCCATTACTCGCCTCGAGGGATCAAATGTCGACGCCGTGAGACCTTGTTCGATCATTGCTCCGCACGAGAAGCCGGGATCGCCGTCCATGGGACAGCTGAGGCGATGGAAAGATTCGCGGCAGAGATGGTCTCCAAGCAACTCGAGGCCTACAATTCGCGACTACCTCTGCGCCAAACGAGTCAGATACCCGGGCGGCTCCCCAGATCTGAAGACGCCTTCGATGGACATTGTTCGAATCCCAAACGTTTCATGGGGATCATACGTGCGCCATTCTTCAGCCGCCATACGCCATCCCCTGAATGGGGGTTTCACTGTTTGGCTTGCAAAGCCCATCATTATCGTCGGCCGCTTCACTGGCGTCGGAAGTATACTATCGAGAGTTACCGAGACCATATCAGAGAAAGTGGGGAAGTGATAGGGGGAAAGCACGTTCGGCAAATTAGACCAGGAGTAATCGTTGCATCGGTAGGTGGACTAATATTTGGGGCATTCGTTAAAAGATCCTCCGGCAAAGGTTATTGTAGTAAAATCCAGCTTACCGATTGTTCTTTGTAAGGGTTTACATTAAGAATTTTCGGGTGTAGAGGGACGGGTTCGACAGGTCGGGACACGCTTCATATATCGCCGGCTCTGCGGGGTAAGCACGCTTCGGGATCCGTCGGTTGAGGCGGCGGGGCTCTTCTATGAACTCCGTATGGTGGTGCTGGCATTCTAGTGACTTTGCGCGCTTAAAGACAGGAATGGAAGAAAAGGAAAAAGGAATACGGAGAAGAAAGAGATACCGACTTCATCAAATATCGAGCTGAGAACTTTCTATCTCAAGGCGTAGGATGAGCCTAGGCAGCATCATCTGCAAGAGGGGTACAGTTGAACGAGCGAAATACAACAAATTCAAGATTCTTGACGTATTGCAACGCGATGCAATGTGCCACTCGAGCACTGAGCACCGTGAATCAAAGACATGGTCAAATCCTAGGCAGATCCGGATCGACCTTCCGCAGCACCTCCAACATCTCCCTCCACACCTTCTTCCTTGTCCTGACACCCTCCTTACTAGTCACAATCTCTCCCGGACTGCAGAAAGAGCATGTTGGCATAAGATCAACACCAATTCGGGGCATACGTACTCAGCAACAACCTGATTCTCCAACCACTCCCCATGGGAGTCCACTCCGCGCGCCGCGGCATCAATAAGTGCTTTGCCCCCTTCTTGCGTCGTCCGCCCCGTCAACCACTGCATCACCCGCAGCGCAAGTGGCGCCTTCTCCCTCGTCAAAAGCTCCGACTTACAGAACCCCGGCGTCACCGCATTGACGACCACCCACGGCGTGCGCGCTGCATCCTCCTTCCTCGGCACCATCCCCGCCAACTCCAGCATAAGATACACATCTAGCAACTTACTCACCGCATACCGCTCCGCAGGGCCGTTTGCCGCCGCTGATCTCGCCCACTGCGTCTGATCATTCAACGCAGCCAGAGTATTCTCTTCCTGCCGCTCCGCAAACCCCGCCGACATATGCACGTCACTCGCCACGATCACCAAATGCGGGAGCATCGTTTCATCTTGTTTCGCCTGCGCAAGCAGCACGTTCAAGACCCGTAAACTCAACAACGCCGTCGCCAGCCCGTTCACCTGGATCGTCCGTTCCCACCCGTCCTCCGTCACATGCCACTCGCCCGATGCCAATCCCGCGTTCATGATCGCGACGTCGATCCTCCCTTGCTCATCGCGGACGTAGTGTCTCACTCGGGCAACGAAGGCCTTGACACTGGCAAAGGAGGCTAGATCTAGGGCCCAGAGGTCGATTTGGCAGGAGTGGGCGCCGGTCGTGCTGAGGAGGTCGGCTTTGGCGGCTTCGCCTTTGGTCAGGTCGCGGACACCCAAAATTACCTTAGCGGCGTGGAGAGTCAGCGCGTGACGGGCGGCTTCGAGGCCAACGCCGGTGTTGGCGCCGGTTATGAGGAGGGTTTGGTTGGCGAAGGAGGTTGGTGCGGGGAGAGTGAGCGGGTGGAAGGGTTGGGCGAGGAGTTTCAGCATTCTTCGTTCTGGGTGGACCTTCTTTCTTATTGGATAGGAATGGTTGGAACTGAGCAACTGTCAGTGAGTGTCTTGAAGCCATGAGCAGCTGAATTTATACTGTTGTGAAGTCGACATCTATATCGTGGATTAGCGGAGATTCGGAGATAAGCTCGCCAGGTGCCAGCCTTATCGGCGCTTGCCGAATTGGGACAGTGATTCAATTGCCTATTTGGGAAATGACGCCGCCCGCTGCAATGGCTCACCACATCACCCTCCACGAATATGAGCAGATGTATCAATCATCAGGCGTTGCAACCCAGGGTCACAGGATATTTCCAGCCAGAGGACCCTCTTCATGGCGCTTTTGACCTCGGCAAAACATACGAAGTCCCTTCCTTGCAGTAAATGACGAAGCATAGTCTCATACCAGCTTCGGACTCGTGTCCCTTCACTGGCGATTCCGCCCAGCACCACCATCCACAACAGCAGATCCACTTCGGCGTCACTGCACACGGGCTCATACTCCATAGCTTGGCTGATCTCCACCTGGAGCAGCTCGGCTAATCGGGCAAAGGGTGCAACGGCCATGGGAAGCGGCAAGATGACCGCAAGACTATAGACTTGGGCAGCCAAGCGGAAGGGCTCGTACAGAAACGACACCGGCGTGACGCATTTCTCCTTAGACGGAAGACTCAGAAGTCGGTGTTGGATCCAATTGCGCTGCTCGACCAGGCTAAGCATCTGGGGATGCGACTGGCATACTCGTCCATGGATTAGAGATTGAATTCGGTCTGTATAGATCACCATGTCATGCAGAATCTCAAGGAATCCGCGTGGAAAACCTTTTAGCTGGTCCAGCAGACGGTTCTGCGAGAGCTCGAGAGCAGTGGATTGGAAGGAGGGCGTGGGGCTTTCTCGCTGCGTGGTGTGCAGCTGCTCGCTCAACATAGATCTATACTCCAATTGAGGCTTGGTGAGGTTCTTGGTTGCGACGATTACCTCTGTACTGCAGATCGGATTCAACAGGTTATCACAGGAGTTCGCCCTCAATCTCGGCAAGTAAACACATACGAAGAGATCACAGCGGCCACCCCCTCCAGTTTAATATTCTCTAGACCACCCCGCTGGCGAATCATGGCCAGCAACCCCCGACGATGACAGTTATCCTGCGTCAGAACAGCATACACATCGAGACTTTGCATGCTCTCGAACACCGGACTGAACGGTGACGACACATTACCAGCGGCGTTAATGGTCTCAGCATCATCGGAGGTATATAGCAACGAATTGATCGCGAGAATGACCTCATCAGTCCACTGATCCACCGGTCGCTGCATGGCCGCATTGAGACGCTGCACTGTCTCCAGCTGACTTAGCTGAATCTCGTAAGCTGCCTTCTGATCAACTTGCTGCGCGCCGGACAACAACCTTTTCGACTGCAGATGAGTCGCCGCTCCGTGAATGAACGCGCTGAACAGAACCGGGCTGTTCAATCCGGCAGTGAACCACGCCCTGATTGTGGGTGAAGTCTGCTCTGGTACTGCACTGGCCATGAAGATGGTAGGCCATAGATATTGCAGTGCTGTTTGTGTTGTAATGTGCTCAGCAAGGTGGTGTTACCTGCAGCGGCTGGGCTCAAACTCACAGTACTCGAACATTCGACTCACGGTCGCAGCGTCTAGCTGCGATGGGTAGGTCTGGAACGGGTCGAGGAGTCCCAGACCTACGGCCTCGGAGATGCTATGCATCTCCGCTAGAGTCTGTTGAGGTCGATCATCCTTCGGAGTATAAGAGGGTCGTTTGGTCGCGTTGGAATTGGCATGCGATCGCCAGTTGTGCCGGCTGGCGTGGGAGCGGATCACCGCCCGCGTCGGCTTCTGTCGGAGTTGTTGGGCCGACGTGAGATTCACAAACTCGAAGGCCGTATCCATTTTGTTTACTGTCTTGGTGACATCGAGCAAAGAGTTGTTGCACTAGGCAAGAGATGAGGAATGATGAAGATCCAATCTGACATGTAGACAGTAAACGTGCCCAGTGCCGTGGTCAAAGCGTCGTTCCTCATTCGGAAAACCGTCACGTCATGTGACCGGAACACTTGACTGAACACCAGGCCAACTAAACCTATAAAGGTGCAGGTTTCTTGCTAAACATTCGGAAATCCATTCAATATAGTATTCAGCTCCATCCAAGCGCTGCGACGTGGTTCATATACGTCTGCTGAAGTGTCTCTCTGCTGGATGGTACCCGGGCTTGGGGATGTATATTTCACGCGGTCCCCGAGGGTCGCCGTCAGAGGTGCCTCATTTCGCAACTCTACCTTCTGTTTCTTACAAAGTGCTTGAGCACAGACCAAGCTGGTGCAATTTATCATGAAATATAAATATAAAACAAGGTAACAATATGGCTATTGCATTGGCTCGCTAGAAACTCGTACGAGAAGAACTCGCTGAAAAACAAACTTGTAAAAGAAGCAACCCAGCAAAAACGCCAACAAACGTATGACTCATGCTAAATTTCACACCGCACTTATACTTTTCGACTGTATCACACATAATTCCCAGCGCGATGCTGCGCCTCCGGCGGCGTCGCGGGGGCAGCCGCCGGAGTCGGGCTCTGGCGCAAGACTTCGCTCGTCGCGATAGAAGAGGGACGCGTCAATGGGGTGCTCAAGCCGAGCTCACTGCGAGAGGGTGCCGTCGCGAACATCACCGAGGCTCGGTCGAATTTCGTCTCACTCTGCGGTCGGCCGCCCTCGGTCAAGGATACCATCGAGTAGTCCGCGGCCTTGGCGGCTGCCCTGGCTTCGATGCGTCTTCTCTTGCGCTTATCCCGGGTGCACATGAAGGCGGCAACGCCGACGAAAAGCAGGATCAGAATGGTGAAAGTGACGATCGCGGCAATCTCACCACGACGGTTGTAGGCAGCCTTAGCGGCGCTGGCGGAACTAGTGGCCGAGGCGGTTGAGGTGGTGGTTGAGGCTGTCGACGTGGTCTTGGTCGTGGTGGTTGACGCAGTGGTAGTGGATTGTGAGGTGGCGGAGGTGGTCGTAGTTGATGAGGTGGTACTGCTCGCTGTAGAGGTGGTGGAGGAGACTGTGGAGGTGGTAGAGCTTGTCGTGGCTTCTGTCGTGCTGGAAGAAGTGGTAGAGGTGGTGGAGGCGGTTGATTCTGTCGTGCTTGTTGACGTTGCAGTCGTCGAGGTGGTAGACTCGGAGGTGGTAGAAGATGTCTCCTCAGTCGTTGAGGCTCGCTTTTGAATGAGCCAGTCCCCATGGAAGCGTTTTGCATGCGCCTTGAGGTTATTGACATCGGCCGTCAGGGTGGCTATGGGTACGGTGACCGTGACGGTTGAAGTGGGACTCCATGTTGAGGGTAGATCAGCAGCGGGACCGGGATGAGCAGCAGTGAGAGAGGACAATGTCCCGAGTGCGATCAGATAGCGTAGTTGCATATTGTCTGGTAAGTACCTAGTTGAGCGAACTTGGCTGGTCGAGAAGAAGATTGGTTGTTGAGCAGTGGGAGCCAGATTTCTAGGCGGGCGAGACCTGCATTATCTATAGCACCGAGCATACTGGCTCCGACCCGAGCCATGACGAATCCCAGCCAAAGAACCAAGTGATGATGAATTCTCTGCGTGTTAGGGTGTTCTTGTCGTCGTACGTGGTAGAACTAGGGCTGAGGCTGCCCAGTTATTTTGGTGGTCGCAACGGATGCTGGTTGGCTCGGGAGGGTCGAGTGGAGCAGTGAACGCTCAACCGGCCACGCGGCTTGCGCTCCACCGTTGCTCGTTCTCATTTTCTGGTCCTATGGCGCACCCAAATACCACGATTTGAGATTGACTATGCCTGTTGATAGCAATATAGCTAAATGTATCCGAGTCGCCGTCGAGTTTCAACGGTATTCGATGGCTGAAAAGCACACACAGCATCAACCCTTGTCTCCGGATATAGATCATTCCGCGGCGCGATAAGGAAAAAACTTTAGCCCGCGGTGCAGAAAATCTTGTTCGGAGTGGATGCATGCTACCAAGTCGAACGGCCGATCGTCCGGTTCTATCTAACACAACAAGCCTCGTAGGCTATGCTCCAGCCCCAGCCCCTCTCGCTATTTTGACAGGCTATTTTCATCGCAAGATGAATTTCTCGAAGAAGCCTGCGCCACACCCGCTCGTTGCTCGCTGACTCAGCGGAATCTGAGCAAACTCAGATCAGCGCAGGAGTTTCTCATCTGGAAGACCGATGGGGCTAAGCCAATATCAGACCCATTTCCATGCAATGATCTGAAGAGCGGTCGTCAACTCGACGAATAACAGCGGCTGTAACCCTCAAAGTCCATCCCATCGCGACGAAAGGCCTAGGGGCTCGCTGTTCTGTGGTCCAACAAAGCTAAAATGGCAGACCGCGAATGAGTCTTGACGGGGTCATGATTAATCCACAACGCCGCGCAAGACTCCCCCAAATTCGGCATGGAGCCCAAATAAAATACCCGCTTTATCATGGTCCACGTCAACCCCACTGAGCTTGTAGACTTTCAAGCCTCAAACCCAGTCTCAAATAGGCTACATGGCCCTTGATAGCGTTTCATAGGTGTGGAAGCCATGGGTACGTAGTCGAAATCTCGGTGATAACTCGATCTAGCCGCTTCCGATCCGCGGTCGAGTCCGAGTCTAGCTGGCCGCTTCGCACACAGCGGTTCGACGTGAAGATACGAGCAACAGGTTGGCGATCATAATATCGACTTTATAGATGACGGGAAGAATGCTAGAGTGCACGATCTGCAGAATGAAGGATGGGAATGGAAAACGATCGGGGAAGCTGTAGTGACGAGAGACGTTGTCAGTCAAAGGCACTAAATTCGCAGCTCGCAGGGTTGAATGACTGGTTATTCCATTCGCTGCTTCTATTGGAAGCGATGTCATACACTCACCTATCGAAAGTGCCGACTCAATAATTCTCTGGACTGGTCCAGGCCTTGGCGTCGAAGATTGAACAGATGGATGGTGGAAAATACCTAGAAGGTAGAAGGTAAAAAGTGGGTGGTTGCAGGAGGGCAGGCGGAGATAAGAGACAGCCAGACGGAGATAAACATAGCAAACAAAGCTCGGGAGAGCTGCTCCCGTGACCCCTCGGATATCCTGCCCCTCACTCCTTCCTTTCCTCCTCCCCTTCCTCTTTCCCTCTTCCTGATTTCAAATTGAACATCCCATTCTACTCTGTCTCTCATCGAAAGGGATTGCAAGTGAGAAGTTTCCATCTCGTGAACTTCTCCAATTCGAGGGGAAATTGAGTGCAAACGTCCATCTCCCTCGACGAGGAGATAGCTGAGCTATTACCCCTCTTCCGAGTATTGGTCTACAGCTCGTATACTGACGATCATCTTGCAATCCAAGCAGCGACTAATATACCACCCCCTTTTGAGGAACCAACCTGCTCGTGAAGAAAGCAACGCCCCGCAACAAGCCATTTTCTCCGTGGCTAGGTCTCATAAGCGGCGGTCTAGGGTCATTCTAACCCCGCGTCAGATCGGCATCCTGAATCCTGCAGGCCCCTTGGCACGAGGACAACTCGGGTGGTGGTTGCGGCGCTGGCTCTCATTTCCGCGTGCTTTTGGCATGCCGATTCGTTGGCCAGTAGTGTATCTTAGGTGGAAAATGAACCAATTTACTTTCCAACAGACCGCCTCTCGTTTGCAGCAAGGGAGACGCAAGGGCACGGGGTGGTGTGAAGGTTAATCGTGCCATGAACGCCTTTCCCGTGCAGGAGCCATTCCTTAGACAACACCCTACAATTGGTGCAATGAGCTTGTTCCATGATTGCAGGGTCGTAGTTTATGACTAACTAGTCAATTCTTTCCCCCCTCCAATTCATCTTCAGCCTTTCATGACCTGATCTTGGGTACAATCCACCAAGCGTCCCTCGCCAGATCCCTCTCCCTTTGGATCCTCTTCACCATGGCACTGACCCCTGAGACCTCAGACTCGTCGACAAGTCTGCTTTCGAGATGTTACATTCAAGAGCCCATTGCCATTGTGGGCATGGCATGTCGACTTCCTGGCCAAAATGACTCGCCCCATCGCTTATGGGAATTCCTTATGAAGGGTGGTGTGGCAGATACAGAAGCTCCCGAAACGCGGTTCAACCGAAAAGGCCATTACGATGGCTCAGACAGGCCACGCACTTCACGATCCTCTGGCGCCATGTTCATGGAAACCGTCGATCCTGCCGCTTTTGACGCCAAATTCTTCAACATAACTCCCCAAGATGCGATATCAATGGATCCTCAACAGCGAATACTGTTGGAGGTTGTCTACGAAGCGCTGGAAAACGCTGGCATTTCTCTTGAGTCAATCTCGGGCGAGAAGTATGGCTGCTATGTGGGTGCTCACACCGGAGGTAGGCCCATCAGCTATAGAACACTTCCTTGTAACCACATTGACACCCATCAGATTACTGGGATATCTTCGCACGCGACCCTGATGCGCGTCCGCCCAACGTAGGTATTGGGTGCTCCGGAACGATGTTGAGTTGCAGAGTGAGCCATTTCTTGAACATCAAGGGTCCCAGCATGCCCATTGATACGGCTTGCTCCAGCTCGTTAGTAGCTATGGACGTCGCTTGCAGAGCTCTGCATACTGGAGAGATCAACGGAGCAATTGTGGCAGCATCAAGCCTAATTCTCAAGTGAGTGATGACTCGATTGCGCTAATCATGTCTATGATGCTAATTTGCGCAGTCCGGAATATGCTTGCGAAGGTATGCAGGTATTCCACAGCTTGAAGCAGTCATGACTTACAGTCCTAGGTGGCACAATCAGATATACGCACTCTCCCACCGGTCGCTGCCATGTCTTTGATGCTAAGGCCGACGGCTATGTTCGAGCGGAGGGCATGAATACAGTTATTTTGAAACGCCTCGATGACGCACTCCAAGATG